CTTTCCAACCCAAACCGTTCTATGATTCTGTATCTCAGTAGTTTCATGTTGGACTACCAGAGCATCTCCTCCAGCAGAACAGGAAATTTCCATGCATAACCTCTCCTTGTTTTTCTTTGGTAGAGTGTCACTCAAAAGAGTGTGTACCTGGGATTCGCTTGCTCTGTTATTTCTTTTTTGCCCAGGGATTTTTGGCCTTGCTGAGCTAAGAAACGTGTATGACTCATAGTAGAAAATTGTCGTTTTTTCTGCAGTAGCACTGTGTCAGGTGGCAAATAGTGATTACACGTGTGGAATTGTGTCATTACAAGAAGTGATGAATTCCTACTTAAATCTCCAACTCTTTTTAATCAAGTTAGTACCCTAAATCATTAATATCCCCTTTTATAGCTGAAGAAGGCCTTAACACCAGAGTTAAATCTAGGTCTTCCAGCTCCGTGATGTGAAGACTGACATTGTCACCAGGGCAAGGTATTCACTCTTCCATTGTTTTCCTGTCTCTCAGATACTTCAGTGATACGTTGGAGCTTTGTCTTTAGATGTCAAAATCCTTGCAAAAGAAGCAGACGAGTACCCAGCAGCTTCCTTTTACATTTAGTGTAATTAATTGAACTATTAGATGCATTTTTTTTTCCATGCTGGAGTTCCATTTGACCTTTTTTTTTTACGCTTTCTACCAAAGAGGAATTGGAAGTGTTCTGGGAAATGCTGAGTGTGTGGCTTTTTATGGAAGTTGGCCATTTTTAAGAGATTGGGCCACTTAAGAGTAATTTAGTGATATTCTAGAGATTATTCCTCCTGTCTCTTATAATTACCTTGGCAAATGCCAAGTTATCCCATAAATAGAAGATTTTTCAGGAAAACAGCAGCTTCATCCTACTGTGTCAAACACAAACACCCTCCCTCTTTCCTGAATCAAGAAAGAAAAAAAAATGCAGTGTCTTCCTCTAAATATACACATATGTTTTTTGCTGCTTTTAATTTTGCACTTTGGTTCATTTCTGCAGTTACTTGATTGTATCAACAATTATAAAAAAAAAAAAAAAAGAAGGAAAAAAAAACCCGCAGCAGCCGTTTTCTGTGCTTGTTGTTCTTGGCACAGGATCAGTTCTGGTGTCCAACTGGTAGGACCTGAAACTTGGTGCTTAACAAGTGCCTGTAGTCAAAACAGTTGGTGTGTGCAAGCGCTGATCTGGTATTTGCTGCAGCAGGTCATCTGCCTGATTTTTTTACCGTGTGCAGAATACCTAATCACGTTGCTGTGTTTCTCTGACGGCATCTGTGGCAATGTGAATCGTTTCACGTTCCAAAAGTACATGTTTACAGTCGTCGTAGAATCAGATTAAGTTGGCAGCCTGCTCCTCTCTGTAAGTGGCTCAGTTTACATTTCTTCTTCTAGCAGGATGTTTTGCATAATTTTGCTGATCCTACTCACTTGTAGACTTTGTGAAATGGAGAATCGTTTTAGTAGGTTTATGTCAGAAAATGAAGCTTGCGTTTATTGTAAATAAACACCAGCAGAATGGTGGTTATTTTAGCACTTGATAATTTCCCAATTATGTCATTTGACCTGGAATGAAGCTTGCAATTGTCGAGTTGCGTTTTATGCAGCGGATCAGTCTGGGGGTTTGAGCTGGCAGTTTATTTCCTTTGTCAGTTTACAAGAAGTATCAAAATGAAACCGACTGTGCAGTTTCCTTTCCAGTGCGCAGCGCAAGAAGGGTGGAACGGTTTGCGGATATTATTTCCAAACTTTTTCAGCTGGACTTGGAATAGTGTTTTGTCAAAAAAGCTGGTAAAGTTATCCTTCAATCTTGCAACGTTATGCTGTAGTTTGCTAGCATCAAATCCAAGTTTATTTTTGCTTAACCTCACGTACTGGGTTTTGTTCAGTTTTGTCAGACTGTGGCTGCAAAATGAAAGTGCTTACAAGGTGTTTGTGAACTCTTGTTATGAACCAGTTACTGCAGGATGACACATTTCTGCAAGCAGTCTAGTTGTTCAGTTTTCTGGTTGCTGGCTGTCGCTTTTCGGGCATGTGTGGGGTTTTTTCTGGTTTAGTTTTAATAGAATTAATGCCAAGCACAGTTGCAAACTTTGAACTGGGATCAGTACAAGGTGGCAGGTTTCACTTGCTATTTACTGAAATTGTAAATATACATTGCTCAACTTTGCACAGTAAAGGTCTGTGCAACAAAACACCTCAGCATATACTGTAAATAGAAAAACTGTAATTTGCGCATAGGTGGTGTATGGAGTTACCATAAGTAACATCTTCATCAACAAGACTGTGATACGGTACTGGAACAGAATCACGTTGTGGATGAGATACTAAATTTCATTACCATCTGCTTAAATATTGTAAATGGGGAATTGCGAACAGTATTCATATTGTGTTGGGGCAGTCGGATAAATTAGTTCATGCTATTTTAAGTAAAAGAACTCAGGGGTTGTGATGAATACAAGCTTAAAAGGAGTTTTATTATTCTGTAATGTTTACTGCTAGCAAATAACTTTCTTACCTTTCTGGGTTTTAGCAATTATATTTTGGGGTTTTTTACCAAATGTAATGCCAAGCTATAATCCGTAACACTGGGTCTCTGAGTTATTCGTGGGTCAACCTGGAATTGATTTTTGCTTTATGCCTCTTGTACGCAGGAAGTCAGATCATGCTAAACGAGACTAATGTTTCAAAATGACGGGTACTGACAAAGTTCTAGTGTCTCTCTTCTGACAACGTTAGAGGGATTTTTTTTTGTTTTGTTTCAACTACCTGCAAAAAAATACTGAAGACCAAAGACATATCTTTCTCTACGCTCAAACTGTTCCGTGACTTTTTTCCTTTGCAATCTTCTGTGTTTCACTGATGGAGAAGACGCTAACTGTGGGCAAAAACTGTTCACTTGATTTGATCAATTTTAAGTAGCGCGTGTTGGGTAAGAATGGATGTAGGTGGGATATACTAAGAAATGTTTTTTGTTTGTAGTCCAAATTAGAGACATCTGCAATTTCAGGATCATATAAAGATCTTTCGGGGTACAAAAGTACTGCAGCCCACCTGGAAACCTATGGTTGGTGTATTTTACTGGCAACATATCTACTGTTGTGTCGTTGTCTGTCGGGTTTGCTGTGAGCTGAGTGCTTGATCTTGTGTGAGAGAGTCAAGGCAAAAACTCAAGAAGATACTTTCTACTCAGAATGTGGTTTTGCCTCTTTTTCCCCACACACTGTGCTTGTGGCTCTGGAGCTCGTGTTGCCTCTCTATTGCTTTGCTTTTTTGCTTATGATTAGAAGGAGATGTGGCGTTTCCTGCAAAACAGCTGCTAGTATTCCCTGGTGACCAGTCAGAGAGGATCCAGTGGAATTGCAGATTCAAAGGCAGACCTAGAGGACTTTGGCAGCTGCAGCAGAGGTTCTGGGGAAAGGTAGGGGGCTGCGTTGTGTAGCATGCAGGAAGGAGGATTAGAAACGGAGTACAAGGGCATGGGAGAGAAGCTCTGGAGATTCAGGGACTGTTAAGTCTCCAACAACATAAGGACTTCACATCTACAAACAATTCAGATTTGGCTGAGAAAGTTGGACTATATCCATGTTTCCATAGGACGTGGAGAATCTCCTGGAATAGTTTAAGATCGTTCGCAATGCTACTGATGCAGAGTTTGCAGTGCGCGTTAGGACGATATGCAGTGTTAGGCTTTTAGACTCTTGCCGCTAACTAGAAAAAAATAACAGATATTGATCTGAAATTGATTCTTGAGAAAGTGCAGTTAATTCAGTGAGAGAGTGTTAAACTTTCCTCTGAGATTAATGTCATTAATACATTAACTGTTTGACAGCAGAAGTCACATGCTGCTTGTCACTTGCTGCAGTGGCTGCGCTGAGACAGCTGAGAGGTTGCAGAAGGATTAATGTGGTAAAGAGGATTGTAACTTTGATTTTGTTCTCTCTGCTCTTGGATTTGACAGCAACTGGTATTTAGGAACAAAACAGAATATGTGTTGTTATCTATGTGGAGTGTAAACATCCATTTGGAAGAATTTAAATGAATCGGAAAAGTTCTCTTTCATATTTTAAACTTGAGCACACATTCATAGTATTGCAGGCTTCTGCAGAAACTGAAATGCATGTCAGGATTTAGGTTAGTATCTTATGAGTGATAACTGGTTTTCGAGTTGTCTTACAGGATTTTTTCATTTTTTAGGGGCAAAAATTCTCATTCTGCTTTAGGTTCATTTATGTCCAGTGACTGTGCCATTTCTGCATGTAAACAGGGACAGCCATGTTGGCAGTTGTGCGTGTACGAGTTCACCTGCCCTGCTAGATCTAATCTGTCTACACATGAACTGCAAACAAGCGTAGATATTTTTACACAGATGGCTGGTTGTCTCCTGAATGTGTTAGTATGTGAATATCTAATTTTGTAACAACTATTTAATGTGTGAATGTCTTTTATTCACATATTAATTTATTATATAGGCTGTATAATAGCAGATTTCTATATTTTAATTCCTATATATGTAAAATATGAATAGACAAATTAGTGTAAATGTTTAAATAACAGATGTAACCAGGAAACTTAGTTCAATAGAGGAGCACTGCTACCCTGGTTTAAGTAGGTGATTTTGACAGCCTTCTTGCTTTGTCATATATTCCCATTATTTCTCCTTGAAACTTATTACCAATGTCTAAAGCTTACTCACTACCACATACATAGTAAGGAAGGAGGAAGTGAGAGGCAACCTAATAGTTCTTGAGAAGGAATATGTCAATATTTAGTTACGATTTATGCCCCCACCATCGAGATTTGTCTATGAGGTTTCACACTTTCAGCAAGTCCAGCCTCCTGCAGCTATGCTTGTCCAGCAAAAACTGGTTTTCTACCCCCTTGGAGGGAGTTTTTCTTCCAGCTCTCCACTGTGGCCCTACCTGCAAGGTGTTGCTGCTCTCTTCTCCTGCTGACACTAAAGCGACATTCGCTTATGTGAGTAAACGTGCAGATTTTAACCGTCCGAGCAGTGTCTGAGAACACTGATGGTTATGTAGCACTGGCTATTTACGTTCTTCCTCCTGTATGATTTTACAGTGGTCATAGTTTCCATTTTGCTTCTAAGAAGCTTCAAGAGAAGCTGGGTAATGCTGATAATTTTCAATTATGTATCAGAGTCTGTCTAAAACATGGAAGACTTTCTGTAGCCATGTTTTGGGGCAGGAGGGGCATTTGAGGAGGTAAAAAGAAATGCCAAATATAGCAGTTGTTTCTGTCTACCAATCTGACACACTCAGATAAAATCAGTGATCTTGTAATCTTTTCCTTCTTAATCTTGTAATCTTTTCCTTCTCTATCTTGTAACTAAAAATTTATTTAAAATAGTGGGATGCACTTTATTATATTGTCGTATCACAGCAATGCCTCTTCCACTGTTTTCGATGTTATACTAAAAAATCCAAAATTAATGTACTGGTTTGCTCTTGGGAATTAATAAATTGTGAAGTTGTCTAGGGAAAAGCACCAAACATTTAGCTTGATTAAAAATCCAGTGTAAAGAGACTTTTAGAAAAATAACTTGTTGTGGCATGTGATACTTAGATGACTTTAAAATATAATTTTAGATGGTCAGTATCTTGAATGTCCGGAAGATTAATTTTAATAACAGAGTAGTGTATTTCACTTCCAAATATATCCATAGGGATGATATCAAAGACACAGTTTATTAGAAGGCAGTGGATCTGGAGAAAACCAGTAGCTATGGTGAAGACTAGAGTAATTAATCCTGAGTTTATAGAATTTGTGTATGGAAATCATTTTTTTTCCCAAGTTTCATTTTGTATACAGCTTGGTTTTATTGGTTACATAGCAGTTCCTTTTCATCAGTCCGCAAGTAATTAATGGGAAAGTTGCAGATTTTTATTAAGCTAATTTAAATTAAGCAGTTGCTGAGAAGGTTGGTGAATCTTTAAACAATAATTGTTTTTTAACAAAATAAATACTCTGTGAATAGAACTCTGCATTTCAGAGGCAGATGCATAGCTTACACGGTTGTTACCACAAATGTGAGGTGAAATGAATGTACGTTAACTGCATCCTGCAAAGGACTTTTAAAGGCAGAGGCTGCACACTGAGGGGTGTGGCGGGGCGAAAACCGGGAAAGGAGAGGTGGCATTTGGGGTGTCAGGAGAGCTACTTTCTGTATTGAAAAAAAAAAAAAAAAAAGACTTTAAAAAAAATTAAGACTTTTGTTCTTCAGTTGCAGGAGAATCTGGAAGGAATTACAGCATTTGTAATTAAAGCTGTGAATATGAAGATATGGAAGTGCTTGATCTTTAATAGAAAATGCCTTTATTTAGTCATTGGAGATATAATAGAAACAGTTTGGAATTTCTTTTTTTTAAAGCATTTATCTTTGTTCTTGAGGTATTCGCCTATTCCAAATTAATCATGGATGAATCCTTCTGCTACTGGCAAGTTTTTACTTGTGAGGATGCCAGACAAATTGTCATGTTTTGATTCTCTGTGGGAAAATTTCTCTTAGTTATCCTTGAAATATCAAACTAGCGAGCGCAGGGTTGATGATATAAATACAAAACCTTCCCTTACAGCAGCAGGTCACTGTTGCTTCCTTAACCTGCTCTTGGCTGACAGGGCGATGCTGTGCAAGCTCAAAGAGTAGCACCCGTTTGGATTCTTCAAGTGCTGAAGGCTTTAGAGGAGGAAAAATTGCTGCGCGTTGAAGGAGAAACTCCAGCTTGTCCGATGTTCTCAGTCTATAATTACATTACACTTGCTACGTTTGATTACTGTGTCAGTAGCAGGGGTACCTGGCTGATCCCCGCCATGGAGGCTCGTGGTGCCAGGGTGCTGGCAAGCCGGAGTCAGCTGCGGCTGAGCACGGTCCTGCTGACTGGAAAATTCCTCTTCCCCACCTCGCCCGTGCCACCCGCTGCCTCCAGCTGGGGAGCACCGGGGCTGGCCTGCTGCAGGGTGAAGGGGTTGGGGAAAGGGTGTTCCCGCAAATGGGGGGACAGGACTGTTAAAGATTTATAGCACCTCTCAGCAAAAATCCACTCCTGTCTCTTGTGATAATTTGTAGTTGGCCTTAAGTTCGCAGCACCAAGCCAGTTGTTTGCAGCACAGTGTCATGCAACTGGCTGGCCAGGCGCTAGCACTTCTCCCCTGAAGAAGTATATAATTTGTAAAGAATGGCCAAATACCTTCTTAAATCTTTTTATTTAACAATATCAGGGATAGGACATTTAGATTTTAGTAATAATAATAATAACCAAACCCAAAGAATTTTACTGAAGTCTGTCTGTCCTGAAGCCTGTTGTGTTGCATGGTCAGCAAGGCCTCGCTTTTTGCAGTACTTACGAGGTCTCCCGTGTGAGCGTGAACAGGCCCCTTACACAAGGGCCTGACCTGTACGTGCAATGTTTGTAACTGACACATAAACTTCTTGCTATTTTGTACTTGCCGTTTGCTCTGTGTGGAAAAAAATAAGCTTTTACTTAGATTGGTGCTTAGAGATAATCTCCAAGGTACGAACCAGGCAGAGCCTGCCTCTTTGGAAGGGCTGGGAGCAGTGGACCTTTTGCTACTTTTCAGTCGTCTGGTTGTTTTTCCTTATAGCTTCCCATTAAACTTGAAACAAGATAGTCATGAAGTAAACTGCCCAATAACAAGGTCACATGAATTCTTCATAAACCATTATAGAAGCAATCTCATGTCCGTCAGAGAATATTTCACTGAGTCATCTGAGCTGTTCTTACATACTCTCTTATTTACGTGAAAGAGCTGGGACACCTAGTGTACCTTGCACAGATGCTAGTTTATTGCTTAAAAAAATGGTTTGAGATTTTTTGGTGAAATTTTCTGGTAGATTATTAACATTTATTTTACTATTTTTTACATTTTTTCAGAGCACTTCATGGAGTTGATTTTGTTTAATTATCATTTGGCTTGATTACATTCACAACAGTAATCAACTGGTGTTCTTCGAACTGATGAAATCATGTAACTAGCATAGAGAGGAACAATTTCCTCTTCCCTGATTACTTTTTTTGTTTGTTTTTTGTTTTAGCCTAGGAAATGCAGTAAAGTTTGTTTTTTGTTTTTCCATTACAGAACGAAGACACGGTTCAATGTGTAAACCTTCCCCTTCTCCAGCTTCTCCAGCCTGCAATTCCAGGACATCCCTAGTACAGATGAAACCGAAATCCTGTATCAGCGGCCATAACCCTGTCAGCAGCAACTCAAAGCCATTCAAAACGCCCAAAGACAATCTACTTACCTCCAGTAGCAAACAGCACACAGTCTTTCCTTCAAAAGTATCACGGGATAAACCATGGTAAGTACCAAAATAATAGTTACTGAAGATGTTGGTGTTCAAAAAATAAGTATCTCTCTATATATTTCACAATCATAAAAAAAATAAATTCCATATTCTCATCTTATCTAAGTTTACAATTTAAGCCTCTACATTTCCTAAGGGAGGAAACTGGGATGTTTTTAAATTAAATATATATATATAGGAAGAGGAAAAAGAACTGGATTACTTTTCTGATGTTCCATCAAATGTCTGCTTTTCTAAGATACATATAGCAAGTGAGATACTGACCCAGTTTGCTATCTTTAAGGTCCATCTTCTGTTACAGTATCGGCCCTTAAAACTGATGCTTTTAAATGGTAGGATAATTTTTGCAGAGTTCTTAATATTGTCTTAATTGATGTTCACGAAAACTTACTGGTTATAGTCATTTATCTTCAACAGCAGCTGCTGTTGGAGTTCATTCTGTATTTTGATAGTTTGGTGCCTTACAGGAAGACAGAAGAAAATTGTGACTGCAAAAATCACTCTTTTGGGGGTGTCTTACATCATGTACTGTGACATATATATATAGATGCATATAGGCTTTGAGACTGCCAGGCCCATCCTCCTGTGACTGTGATGACAGCAGCAGAGTTGCAAAAATGTAAAGGAGACCAGAACTGGGTCACTATTTTATCCCATAAGAAACTGTTTTGTCTTTAGTTATCTACTGAAAAGGTGCTTTGTGATTATGTTGCTAGGTTGGGGACTCACAATCTGGGTTCAGTTCCTGGTTCTGCACAGGCTACTGTTATGCCTTAGTCTCCTTGGCCTCAGTTCTGTGTCTGTAAACTTGAGATAGTAAGACTTGCTTTTTCTTAAGTTTTATCTACTTACTGTGTAAAGATCCTTCCCTTTTATATGTAATATCTAGCATAAGGTGGTCATGATTTTAGGTAGGGTTTCTGGACACAACTGCGTTAAAGCAGTAAATAATCTAATGCAAACCATTCACTCATGAGACAAAGCATAAACTATAATTATGTTAAAGTAATAGCTCGTGTTTTCTGCCTGAAACACTCACTAGTTGCTATGATTTCAAGGAGAGCAGCTTCTGCCTAGCTGTAGAATTTACCTTGCACTGGAACAAACTTGATCAAAATGTAATCTTCCTATAAATCTGAACCCACCATCTCTATAAGCATGATGAGCATCGTGGACAATTATGGTATATAATTCTGAAAACAGAAAATCTGGATGTTTAGATTACATACACAGATGAGACAGAGGCTTTTCTGGTTAAGGTGTAAGTGCCTCATTTACTATTTAAAAATATATTACTAACTGAATAGTGATCTTTTCTTCGGAATGTTGGAGAGGAGTTTTATACAAGAGAGGATTTTATTTTTTTTTAGGTCTAATTAGAAGAAAATCAGAAGGGACTTTAGACTATTAACACTATTGGCTATAAACCTGTTTCTCATCATAGTGTTACAGACAGCAACTTACATATCCACATTTCAGCACACTAACTGAATCTGTAAACAATATCTTCCGTTCTGGCAACAGATGGCATTCTGTCAGTCAGTAAAAGCTGGAAGGGAACAAAACAACTGAGCATTTCCACCAATCCCTTTTCCCTTTATTGGGAACATCCCAAACATTTACTGATGATTAACAAGGTAGATTTAGCCATTTAAAACTGCTGTACTGCTCTGTTAATACTTTGGCAATGAATATGTCAGAGGTTGTACCTATGAATTACCCAATTCTTGCAGCTCTGCTGGGAGATAATACTGCAATTGTGGGGAAAAATGAGGCATATAGTAGTTAAAGATATTGTAATCATCACATAACAAATCACAAACAGTCTGAAGTGGAGATCAATGAAATTGTCTTTCAAAATTCGGTGTTAAGTGCCTTCGATTACATGACTTGTTAAAGAATAAAATCGGTCTGATAATCATCACAGGTTATAGAGAACTGACAGCTGTTATGGAAGAAAGTGTTTGTTCCTATTCCATTAGTGGATTATAATTTTTATTTAGAATTCTAGAAAATATTCAGCATGTCTGATTTTCTTAAAGGAGAAATTATCATAAATTTATTCTTTTTTAAGATAAGATTATATCTTCCATTCAGCTGTCTTTACAAGTCATAGAATTTCACCCACTTATCTTTTAGAAAGAAACGCTCAATTGACATAAATACATTTGTCTCAAAAATGCAAATAGGATTCATCATGTATCCGAGTGTGTTGTGGTTTATCATCCTCAGAAGCTTCCAGTTATTCAGTGCTTTCATGTGTTACGTTGTAGTCTCGTACCACAAATGTTCACTTGACATAGGTTCTTCCAGACAGTTACCAAACTAGCTTAATTCAGGAATTGTATCACTTGTAATGATTACTTTCCAGACCTGGAATAACCTTTGTTGTGCTTGCCTGTTTCTTTCATACAGCATATCATTTCCATTTTAGCCGTTACAATTACTAGTAGTATTTCAGCAGTGGCCTCTGCAACAGCATGGCCCAGTACATCTATCTGTCATGCCTGCCTGCATGTAGACCCAACTCTTTCATTGTTTAATTCATCATAGTTTTGTTTGAGTCACCATCTTAAACATTGACAGAGTTGCTCTTTCTCTTCTTCACATTCTATGTTGTTCTAAGATGTGCCGCAGAGGTTCAGGTTGCTCCTTGGCTAATGCTTTAAAAAGCATGATCAGATGAAAGAGATCTGGAACTGTTTCATTTTTGTAGCCGCTGTTTTAATACTTCCCTTCTTGTAGCTAGCATATGAAGGATTATTGTGAATACATCATCCAGAAATATCTGTCAGCTCTGATTTTTTTCCCCTGTATCTCTCTAACATCGTTGCTATTAATACAGCAGTGCTTAGAGACTGGAGCAGTGCTGGAGCATAAAGATAAATGTAAACCATCGTCTTCTGAAGGTTGCAGTTGAGGTGGTAAGAGGAGTAGCAAAAGGGTAGAAAATAGAAAAAGGCAAAGTGTAAGATGATTGGTAGTAAAAACAATAATATTGAACAAGCGATCGTAATTGATAAGAATACTGTAGATACTTACCCTTTATTTCCTGCAGCCAGGAACTCTCTCCTTCACTGCTGACCTGCCCAAAGAATGCCGCTTCCCTTGCTGTGCCCCAGCACAGCTTCTGAGCGCTGCCCTGGAGGATATAGGTCTGTGATGCTACAGGGTGTTCATGTCCACCCATCCGTGATCCTGAGGCAGTGCAAAATTGGGGTAAAGTGTTAAAGTAAGCTAGCCCTCTGACACCAGTTGAAGCAAGTCTCCTTGACCTCCCTCCATGAGGATCCTGCCAGAAGTTCTGAAAATGAAGAAAATGAGATCGAAATCATGTGGGTTTCATCAACATGTAGAAAACTGACAGTCTTTCTGTAAACAGAAATAGGATCACAAAGTTATACCTATGGGTAATCATTTAAAATGTATAATGTCACTTTTCAAAGGATTTTTTTTTAATCATCTCTTATTCTTTATTTCTTTGGGTTAGGAAATTATTCGTCCTGAGGTTGAGAAAGTGAAGCTAGTCAAGGTTTAAGGATATTCCTAATGCAGCAATGAATTGGAACCAAAAGTCAGCAAAGTTAACTTGGACCACACATTCTAACCACTAAATTGCAAATACTTTGTGACATTGTAGAGGCAATCCCAGCAATGTAGAATAGAACAATGTTTTATGTTTTTTAAATGTTGGTGAATTTCTTTTCTCACAAATTTGAAGAGACTTGAACAAGTGGCTGAGATTTTAGAATGAATATAGTTATGAGTGACCAAAAAAAAAACCCCACCCAAACCCCAGCAAAATTACATAACAGCAAGGAAAAATAATTTTATAAAGCCTGAAGAAAGGAAAACAGAGGTAATAAGGAGCTACATGTATGAGGAGTATTGTGACATATTACAGTTATTTTTCTTGCTTGGGAATGACAGTGACAAGCAATGGCTTGGAACTAAAAAAGAAATTGCTACAAGATACTCAGGAGGGAAATTCACTCTTGTTTCAGGAGTTTGTTGCAGGTTCTGCTGAAGGAGTTGTTGGAATAGAATAGAATAGAATAGGATAGAATAATTTCAGTTGGAAGGGACCTACAGTGATCATCTAGTCCAACTGCCTGACCAAGAACATGAGAAAACAGAAGGAAATGTTATCTTATCTGAAAAAGCGAATGAGCTTTTGAAGCCTGTCGTGATCAAGCACTTTGTGTAGCCCTCAGATATTTTCGTAGCTTGCTTCTGGTTCCTTTCTAATTCATCAGTATTGGTATTGAATCACGGCTCAGCAACACTGGAAGCTGTATTCCAGTATCTGTATAACCAGGGATGTGTGAAAACTAAATTTGCTCCTTAATCTTGTTTGCCATATCCCTTTTTAATATAAGCATAACAATACAATAAAAGCTCATATTGCTTATCCACTGTAGCCTCTAAATATTTTGACACTATTTTGCAGTACGTTTTTTTCCCTTATTTCATTGTAGACTGAATAACTTGTTATTTCATGTGTAACTTTGCATTCACTTGTATTAAAATATCTTTTTGAAGTAATGAACTTTACTAAACATTCCATGCTGCTTTTTGTAACTGCCTTTTGCTCTTCATTATTTAGTTCCCCTTGATCCTGATTCCATCAGCAAATGTTATCACTAGTTATCTTATATTTATTTCTAAAGACCATGAAGTTTTCAGTCATGTCAGACTTGGTAATGGTAGCTAAAAAGTGCCCCTAGCAAGCACCCTTATTGAATAATAAATCTCTGAATGACTGGTTTTTAATTTTATGTTGCTTAACATTTGATTTTAAACTCTTTTTATTTGTGTTTTATAATGCCTTTCGAAAGTCAGAACATTTTCACAGTTATCTTTGTCAGCTTAACTGGTAACCTCATCAAAAAGTAAACCAATTTTCCTTGCCAAGATCTGATTTTCAGAACAACCATATGAACTAATTGTCTATCAGTTTATTTTTATTAGTTTTTCCATTATTTCTTCCAAGACACTCTGGTTTGAGTTTTCAGTGTGGCTGAAAACTAGCTTCTCTAATTTGCCAAATATTCCAAGATTCAATTAGAAATTAATATGCTGAGACCAAACATCTCTCCAACTCTTTTGGAACTCATGACCATGTTATCCAGATTTGTTTATGTTTTAAAAAAAAAAAAAAAAATTATTTTTTCAGCTGGCACTTTACACTTACTGAGAGAATAAAAAAACATTCTTATCTGATTGGAGAGAGCGTTATCGTACTTCCTTCTTTGTATAAAAGAAATACTGAACATTTCTGTCATTTTTATATCGCTAATAACTATTTTACTGTCCTTTAGGTAGATACTGCTATTATTAGAATTTATTTTGTAAAAAAAAAAAAAAAAAAGGGTAAACCTGTCTTTACTGAATGCAGATTTTTCTCACCTATCTTTGGCAATCATCTATACTCTGATTTTTCTCATTTTTACTGACTGTCGTGTGCCTTTCCTCAGTTTTTACGGTTTTTTTTGTATGTTGCTTTTCTAATTGTCCCTTTCAGCAGTTGTCTTTAAGAAATCTAAACAGGCTCTTCATTCAAAAATTCTTTTTAAAATATAGTAAGAAAGACGAAGGACTTATTTTTTATTTTTCTAACAAGCTTTGTAAAGAAATCCTCAATTTTCACTCAAAAAACCTCAGTTTGGGAAAAGAACTCTCTTTAACCATCAAATATAAATGTAAGCATTTGTGATTTATTTACCTTTTTAGTCCTTAGTAGTTGACCATGGTCACTGGTCCTGTGCAGCTTCCAATTTGCTGTTTGGTTATCGATTCATCTTTATGTGTTATGCTAAGATGAAACTAGAGTTCCTTAATGTTGAATGCAGTACCCACTCACATTTAAAAAAAAAAAAAAAAAAAAAAGATGAGTTATCATTTGTAGCTTCTAAAATCCCAAATAATTTACTGATTTACTGTAGACTGCCAGGAGCTCTACAGAATGTGTGTCTTCAAATACTGGAGTATTTTTCTTTTTTCTTCTACATTGCAGTTAAATGCATAATGAAGGTTGACTTGTTGATCTGTAACAAAACCAAGCAAAAACGTTCCCTCCCCTGGGCTGTGTTCGTTATCACAGTGATCCAGCAGTATGTGCCCTAGGATTTGAGGTTCTGAGCACTGCAAAACTGAGAAACTTTTTTCATATTAACTGTGATTTACTACTAGACCAGATAATACACTTGACCCCTTCCTTCACTTTGTATCAGTACTTTGAATTAAGGTAGATATTAGAAACTGGGCATGAAGATTTGTTCATATGTTTTTACATCATTTTTATATAGTAAAAATGCTTGATCTAGAGTAAAAAAATTCTCATGTTTTCAGAAAATGTAGTTGCCATCTGTTTAAAAGCAAAAAAAAAAATTAATTCTTACTCTGGGATGTTATAATTTGTGTCTGTCATTTAACACGTTCAGAGCAGTTTAAAAAAGTAGACAGCGGATCAAATCCTCTCTTTCATAGCTCCATGTTTGCATTGTCATTGAAATACTTAATGCAATTCTGGTTTTGTGAGTCAATTTTTTTTGCTTAGTTACTGGCCAGTGCTCCACATTTTACTGCAGTCAGATCTGTATTCTGACTAGCTGACTGCTATATTTATGGTATCGTAGAGTATGGAAGTTTCATGTAATTTAATTCCAGCTCCCGAATATGTCTTGGTATCTCAATCTTTTTAGTTTTATATACATATTGTTTACATCAAGGTTTGTACATTTTTCTATGTTGAAATACCCTTAGAACAGAGATTAACAACTTTCCAGTATGGGAGAGCCCATTCCAGCCACTCATGCTGCACTTTCTGCTTATCATCTTCAGCAGCTACAGAGAAACAGAGGTTTTGTAGTAGCCCAGGAAGGCCGAGACTTGAGTTATTTTGGACCTTGCTTCCGATGGTTCCGAAGGGCGTCCCATGGGAATGCCATCTCAGTCATCTCTTTCTGATTGTAGAAACTCCACACCTGCTAACTGTTCCTTCTGTAGGAAGAATGCAGGGAAGGTGCCATTTTTCAGACACAAAAGGTTTGAAATTATGTGAGAGTTGTGAATGGGGGGAGGCCCCAAACCGTACAGTGATGTGTGGACAGGCAAAGGTTGGGACACTGGAACACTGACAACAGTGTGATCGCTGGCAAGAACCTCTGCTTACCTGAACTGCAACATGCCAGCATACTTCAGAATATGTACTCGTTTACCAGCAGTTGTGTGTTGAACGGGCATCACCTGAGTAACGTACATGTAGAAGCTCTGCACTGCCATGCAAAATTACTGCAGTGATGTGCAAGAAGCAGATTGTTCTTTGAGTACAGTTTGCTAAGGAGTAATTTCGCACTCATTTATGTTTCATTTTACCTTTAAGCTTGTACATCAAGTTAAAACTTTAAGATAATAATAGATTAAAGCATCTCTGAGTTTTAAGAATTTTTTTCTGTGCAGGGCAGCTCCTTGACTGTCGCCTTTATGCTGGGGATTAAAATTAGGGAGGTTAGTTTAGGTCTGTGCAGTTCAGAAAGGAAAAGATAGGAATACTGTTAAGGAGACTCTCATGTTTCTGATGAGGAATTTGTTTTACCTTTTAAACATCACCATTGCATTTGTATTTAAGAAAACTTGTGTTTCTTTTGTGTGCTCAATGTGAAAAATGTCATTTTTGCATGATCCACGTGTGAATTTGCTTGCAAGGCAGATAGTCAATTATGTAGCAAAAGCAACTCTTAGGCAGTCTATGGAAAGAACTGCATAAGTAGGATGTTTTCATTTCCGGCCTCCAATGAAACCTGTGCTTAAAGCTCTGAGAATTTAGGGTTTTAAATTAGTATTATTCTCTCTGGGTTTGTTTCAGTAAGGAAGGGTATGTCATTTGTATATTATATATTAATTGGTAGTCTCAAGACATCCAATTTTTGAGGTTTTGGGTAGGTAAAAAGAGCTACCGTTGTTGGATATTTCCTCATGCATATGGGAGACGGAAATGTGAAAATAACGTTGGAATTGAAAATTACTCGTTTTAATCTTTTTTGCTGCCAAATTGAGAAGGTAACATTTGTTGGTGTCACAAATATGCTGTGTGGTAGTTAAGTTAGGAGAAGTTAGTTACTGCAAACTTTATTCTGAAAAGGACTGGCTAAGCTAATAATTATATTGGGAATTTTTATTTTTAAGTTCACAAGATTTTATTAAAAATGCATTTTAATAATGCTCAATTTGTCAAGGATTGTAATATTTTTAAAGGGACTGCTGTTGAGATTTCTGTGCTTAAAATCTCTTTTCTCTTTGTTTCCAGAACTTGTATGTCATTCAGACACTTCTGAGCAAATTAATTATTTTTGCGTTTGTTTAAAAATACTAATGTTGTTAGCAAACTACTTTGTTGTCATGGTGAGTTTAGTACAGCATACACATATCTGATATGTGCTTGTGTTAAAGGCATGAGACCATTTATTTGAGGGGGTATGTTTTGCTTGGTACCAAAGACTTACTTTGTATATGAATAGTAGGGGAGGATCTTAAAAAATTATGAAGATTGATTTTCAAAATTCTCTATATAGCCAGGCTTTATAAGCGCCTGATTTTGTAACCATTTGGTTGAACAAAAATAGTCAATAATGGTAGTAAGTATTTCATTTTAGTCTGGTCTGAAGACACTGTGTCACTTGCATCAAAATTTTTATATCTGTGGAAGGGGATTAAGTAACTGTCAATCTTTGGTATAGAAAATACAACTTGAAGATTTTTCTTTGGTTTTGCAGTGTTCCTGTTCCAGTAGTCAGTCTAGAGAAAATTCCTAACCTAGTGAAGGCAGATGGTGCCAATGTTAAAATGAATTCTGCAACCACTACCACCATCAGCTCCTCCTCAGCCTCTTCATCCACCATACCTGCTCCAACTTTGGTTAAATCTGGTTTGACATCCAAGTCAGTGCCGCCATCACCAGAAAAGATTCTGAACGGCAAAGGAATTATAGCTCCATCAATAGACAAGAAACACCAAAATGGCACTAAAAGCAGTAACAAGCCTTACAAAAGACTTTCAGGTGAGTGATGTTGTAGTTCACCTTTTGAGCTAGACCATCTTTCTTCATTAATATTTCTATAGCTCAGAAATAAAATAATGTACTAATGAAATGCTGTAGCCTGGTTTTGGTTTGATTATTTTTTTTCTTTGCTGTAAGATGTCAGTTTGCATATATGAAAAAGAAAGCTTTCACACTCTTAGCATGTGTAAAGTATTTTCAAAGTACACGTTCTGTTTAGCTTGAAATTAGAGTGTTTAATGCATTTCTCAACTGGTCAACAGGCTAGATATAAAGGAAGTAAATTCATTAAAACAGAAAGGCAGAAGGCTTCCTCAAGCCATTATGTAAGTCGAGTCTGTTTACAACAAAAGAAAATACGCCTTGGTTGGGTGACTATACTGTAGTCATGATCAAGTTGAACAGTTAAGGTTTAAGCTAATTGCGTTATCTGCCAAGTCAAGAATTTTCTTTCTTGGTTTTAAATACTAGAAAACTCTTAAGAAGATCTAGGAAATGCTGGGCAAGTCTTAAAAGCTGTAATTCCCCTCCACTCCTCTCTCCCTGTGATTCACATGAGTGAAGATGTTTGTGGCATGGGGATCTCGATCTTTCTCAGGAAGACAGGAAAGTAGGGTTAAGGAAGTGGCATCACACGTGGCAATGCCCTGGGTGGCCTTAGGCAGGGCAGTATGGAGGCTGTAGGTCCCTGTGCAAATCCACCACCAAAGCACAGAGCGCCTCACTGTGGAAGGGCAGTTAGCAAGGTTGCCATTCATTGAGAGGAAGAATTATTTTCCATGAAGTTCCCCGGAGGTGGCCCATGCCAGGTGTTGGGCAGCGAGCAGAGAATTTGCGCCTTAAAGCTTGAAAACATATTTTTGTTCTGAATGAAAGGAAACAAAGTGTTTTGAGGGATTTTTTTTTTTTTTTAAACAAAAGTAACTGACTCAAGTTTATGCCTTCAGAATCTGTGCAGGGTCTATTCAGCTGGCAGTACTTTGTGATTTGGGCAGGAACTTCTTGTGTGTACTGAAAGGCTAATTTTGCTAATGGCAGCATGAGCCACATTAGATCGTCAGTTTGGCAGAAAGTTAGTTCACATGATGTCTAAATGTGGACTGGTTATGAACCAAGTGTAAGTTGTACAAGATAAATAATTTCAGTTACAGTTAATGAGTGTGCCCTATTTTTTTGACTGAGTATCAGGTTTATTTTTTTCATTTTCTCAATCTGGCAGTTAGCCTATGGTACTGCTACCTTGGCTTGATTCCAGACCAGTGCGAGGTGTTTGCTAGGGCTGTGTGGGGTATGGAACAATGCCACTGCCTTAAAGGATTCAGTACACTGATTGCTTTCTTAACTAGTTAAAGGTAGCATCTAAGAAAACAGAACCGTTGTTCATGATAGCATTCCACAAAATGAAAAAATACTAAGAGAAGGTAGCTGGTTAGGCTTTTAAACCTTACATTTCACTTGCTAAGATTCCATTTGTTGTTCTAATAAAAACTCTATAAATTTTGCAGTTAATTTAAAATATTGGTTTCTTTTAAACCATTATTTCCTTTAGTGGTTTAGATGCTCGATTTCGGTAGTCAATTCTGAATTCCTACTTGGGCAATTGAAACGGATACTTTTTGAGATACTTGTTTTGCTCATGTCAGCACATACCACCGCAGGGCTGTAGGTGATACTCATACCTTTTTTTTTTTTTGTACAAGTGCTTGCTGAAATGCATTCATAAAGGAGAATCATTTCTGTAGGGCCTTCCTTCAACTTGCTTGCTTTTTCTGTGGAGATGACTCCATCACTGTTCTGTCTCTAAGCTGTCACTTGCTCTGTCTTCTAGGCTAGGGAACATTTCACTGATGGAAAGTTTCAAATAGGCTGGGATTCTGCACAGGACAGTTAGAGCGCTCCGATAGGCATTAGTTTATTTTTATATGGTTAACAAATCCACAGAATTGATACTTTTTTTAAAGCTCCTCTGTCATTATCAGATTTAGAATCTGTTAAGTTTTGCTTGTGATACCTCACATGTTGATGCAGCAACACAGTAATTTAGTGATGATGCAAATAGAAGTCCTGAGAGCACTGTAGATTAATTGCCTGTAGATTCTGTGTCACTTGTGATGGATTCCTCTCCGTTATTACACAGAACTGCAAAGGCTGAGAAAAAGATCTTGGAAGGTCAACGAGATTATTATTTTAGATATCCCATAAATGCCATTCATTTAACATTAAAAGAATGAGAGGGTGGCTAGGGGAGTTAGGTTTCCCTCAGTCTGCTGCTGTGGAACTGTACAGCTGTTAATTTTTGAAGCTCTTTAATAGAGCTGGCCAGTTTACATCTGTTTTCTTTCCTTTTTAGCAACCTCCACTCTCTGTCATACCATTTCCCTGACTGTGGCTGAAGTTTTTGTTGTTTTTTTTCTTTGCTGAGAGCTGGTCGTTGTTTGGGTGATGAATGAACCTGCCCTCTTTTCAGGAGTGCTGTTGTTGGTGAGAGAGAGGAAACAGCTCGCGGAACCACAAAAGACAATCTGTAGCTGCCCAGCATGAGTGGATCAGTGTTCCCTAGTAGCAAACTGCAAAACAAAAAAAAATTATTTTTTTTAAATCTTCCTTAGTCTTTTTCTCTTTGGAGTGAAGTTAAAGAATGCAGATGGCCAGTTTACACCAAGAATATCTGTTGGGCTGCAAACAGGAGTTTGAGACAATTCAGGTCTGACCCTTCCTCTTCTTGCACAGAATCATAGAATGATTTGGGTTGGAAGAGACCTCAAAGGTCATCTAGTTCCACCCCCCTGCCATGGGCAGGGACACCCTCCACTAGACCATGTTGCCCAAAGCCTCATCCAACCTGGCCTTGAACACTTCCAGGGAGGGGCCATCCACAACCTCTCTGGGCAACCTGTTCCAGTGCCTCACCACCCTCACAGTAAAGAATTTCTTTCTAACTTCTAATCTAAATCGACCCTCCTTCAGCTTAAACCCATTACCCCTTGTCCTGCCACTACACTCCCTGATAAACAGTCCCTCACCATCTGTCCTGTAGGCCCCTTCAGGTACTGGAAGGCTGCAATTAGATCTCCCCGGAGCCTTCTTTTCTCCAGGCTGAACAATCCCAACTCTCTCAGCCTGTCTTCATAGGAGGGGTGCTCCAGCCCTCTGATCAGCTTCATGGCCCTCCTCTGGACTCGCTCCAACAGCTCCATGTCTCTCTTGCATTGGGGCCCCCAGAGCTGGATGCAGTACTCCAGGTTACTCCAGGTGGGGTCTCACCAGAGTGGAGTAGAGGGGCGGAATCACCTCCCTCGACCTGCTGGTTTGGTGAGGTTATAATGAATGCTTTTTACTCTGTCCACCGTACATGAAGAAGTGGAATCCATTCTGAAGAAACAGCTTTCTCAAGCTGTGCCTGTGCACAGGAGTCTATCTAGGGCTTCTCATGCTACACCTTTCCTAATACAGAGGTAGTCAGAAGCTGCATTTTGTTATTGATAAGATGATGATAATCTTCATTTACTGTGTTGCCCAAATCAGCCACATCTGTAGCTGGCAGTTAGATGTTCATGACTCCTCTGGAACAACCACGCACGCTTCAGCCAGGAGAAGTGGTTTCCTGTTTGTCTAGTATTTTCTGTTTCTCAGGGAAAGCATGTTGTCTTGTTGTTCGGTAGATGGCGGAGGCTTCCACTTTTTCTGACTATAATTCATTCTGTTGATTTCACCTCTATGTGGTTTCTGAAAAACTGGCTTTACTGTAATCAGTCCTGCAAGTCTTGCTTGGTTGGAACACTCTTACTGACAAGTAGCAATCAGGATGCTTCCAAAGGGAGCACTTCTGATTTTTGAAGTATGTTTCCCTGTCGGTCCAAAATAGTCCTTGCTTGGTGACTTTCAGAACACATTCCACAGCCTTATGATTACCCTCAGGATTTTTCATTTGAAGGCATGTTTATAAGTCCATATAGTCTATTTAGTTTGTTTTTTAATTTATGTTGAAGGTTTTTAGGCAGGTGATTCAGGAAACTGATAGGAACACCATACACTCAAAAACCAGGAGTAATTAACTCCTTTAGTTCATGAACATGCATTTTCATCCATTAAGTAGAAAGAAATGTTGATTATATTCAGTCATACACAGCTACTTTTCTGTTTCTGTTGTGCTCTAAAGGCTACAGAAACTACAACTACTCGTGACAGATTTCAGTCCCTTTGCAGATTTCCCCAAAAAAATAGTGCCAACTCTTTTTTCCAAGCTCACTTTTTGGTATGTCTCTGCTAATAGGTCGATAACATTACCATGTTTACTTTAGCATTTTTAAGTCCATCTAGCAGAATACGTAAAACTGCTAGTAGTTGTGATATCTGGATGACAATTGTTGTCTAACATAGGCAACTTGTCCTCATATTTCTTTTTCCAGCTGTTCTACTTGCTGTGAGGCTGTCATAACATTGTAACATAGCTGTGAATTGCTGTCTTCATCTTAGCTCTGATTTGTTTGTTTATAAAGAATTTTTAGATCCTCAGATTAAATGTTATATTTGAGTACAGGATGTTTATTATATCTGAATGTAACACCACTGTATAGTTAAAATAGACTTTGGCAAATAGTTTATATTCCATTATCAAACAAAAGCAAACCAGTCTGCCAGTTAAAACATAAGATGTCAAAGGGTGTAAAGATAATGGTAGATTTTTTTGGTGGCATAAACTAAGAAATCTATGTCCGTAGTTTTGTTACAGCTCCATAGTACAAACCCTAGAATTATATTAACATAACCTAAAGGAGATGTATATAAATACTAAAATATTAATGAAAATAAATATGCAAATACAGCATATTAAATATTAATACACTTTTAACATTAATCCTGAGTAAAACTTGTGTAAACGCCTTTTTTTCATAATCTCTGCAAAATTTAAACTCCATGCCTCCCTTCACTTAGGGAAATAAGAACTAACATACGTGTTATTTTTACACAGATTTAGGGGACAGATTTAGAAAAATTTTGTTTTAAAAAGCCACTAGTAATTTTGCATTTACTTTTGAGACACCACAGGTTGTTTTTCAGAGTTTCTGAGTACGTCAAAAAAATGTTGTTCAAAGCACTTGTGATATTTAGTCTGTGTGTGTCTTAGCCAAACTCAGAAGCTAGATCTGCAAACGCTGTATTTCATGGCCTCAGAGGCAGCCAGTGTTAGAGAGGGAATTGAACTCACGGGTATTTGGCTTGGTCCTGTGTTCGGGCCTCTCTGTTGAGCACAGCTCTGTAAGCAAACTTACTTCTATAAAGTCTGTGATTGAAATCCAGCTGTAAATAGTTAGAAAAATGTAAGGGCAAAAAAAATGCACAACTGTGAGTGATACACATCATGCTATTATGAGGTGCTGGGGTTGGGAACAGTGGTTCAGGTTGAGCCTGGTTGAATTAAGTGCCATCAAGCAAAAATTACAACTACTCTGGCTAAAATGTCTGTAATAATCTTTTTCTCTCCTTTTTCTCCCCACCATCCCCTATCAAACAGAAAGAGAATTTGACCCAAATAAACACTGTGGAGTACTGGATCCTGAAACAAAGAAACCTTGCACAAGATCGCTCACCTGCAAGGTATTTTTCTTAGAAGATAAAATATCAGATGCTTTGTTATAGTTTAAATCCTACCACAGTAGTTTGAGAGGTCATACCTGCTCCTGTCTTACAGACAATGGGTATGGTATTCAGACGCTGTCTTCAGGTAATTCTTTTGAGTAATTCTGTTTCTTTGAATCAGAGCATCTGCATTATTCCACTGATATTTCTAAAAAGATTTTTTTTCTTGTTATTTTGTTATGCAAAAAGCATCAACGTTTCATGTAGAAGCACAAGTGTTACTTTAAATGCTCCTTTTTTGGTTCATGTGTGCAACAGTGTTGTCAATTTTTAGTAAAAAATCAACATGATTTTTGTATGATAAATTACTTGGAGGCTGCCCTTATGATAGGAATAAGTTTAATGTCAAAAAGTAGCAGCAATGTAAGACATTTATAATGAACATTTGTATATGTACGTGCTGCTTGTCAGTAGAGATGATCAGTTAAATTTGCTTTAAACTGTATTCACATTTTTCAAGCCAATGAAATAAATTTTTCATTGTAAGTTAAGAGCTACAAAGATATTACTTCATAATATTTTAAAATTATTTGATTTATATTTTCTGTTTTGGAAAAGGTAAGTCAATAGACTCTATTATATGACAAATGTTGCAAAAAGTAATTTTAGCCTTGATGTTGACATTTCTTAAGAACGACTTCATAAATTATCAAAGATAATGTGGAATAACAGCTTTATTTCCATAACTGTGGATAAAGTTGTTTGAAGTAGATTTTATCTTTTAGAGTTGTGGTGTATCAGAAGTATAGAGGACTCATAAACAATGTCATGCACACACAAATGCTTTTTAACCACCCTATTTTTAGACTCATTCACTTAATCATCGACGAGCAGTTCCAGGCCGTAAAAAACAGTTTGACATCCTTCTAGCTGAACACAAAGCTCGATCCAGGGAAAAAGAAGTTGCAAAAGACAAAGAGCATCCACCATCTGCAAGGGAAAGCTATCAGAGCCAGCCCACACCAGCACAAGACTCTCTGTCAGGACCTTCAGTGAACTCTGGGCAAGAATCTAAAGTAACATCTCCTGCAAAATCTAGACCACCAAATTCTGTACTTCCAAGGTAAGCGGTTCTCCAGTGTGGAACGTAAGAAATGTTGTAGTCTTTCATACATCTTATTTTATAAGCATTTGGTATTTCTTTAGGCTATTGCATGATAAAACATGTTAATATGAGAGTTTCTCTTAGTAGTAGAAGATAGACTACGTTTATATTAACCTAAATCTGTCTGTGGTAGCCTGTGGTCTGACTGGGGAGGAGTTGTGTCCATCCTCTGATTGGAATGCCAGAATAACGCCATTTTTTTGCTAAAATGGTCAGTAATAATTAGGAAAGTTTACACTTGAGTCATTCTGACACTTTTGGGAATAAAAGCCTATTTGCATGAATCAGGTAAGTACTGGTGGTGACATTCTGCACATTTATGTAGCATTTTTCTCTGCAGATACTTCACCAATTACATTAATGGAGTGCCTTGTAAAAAAGGCTGTAATTTAGTGTAAATGGCAATGTAAGCGGGTAGTTCTTAAAACTATTAATTTGAAACTGTTCATGGCATGTCTTTCCTCATTTTGAAGATTTTTCTTGTAAAGGACAAAAACAGTCTTCAGAAAAACAATGCAAACTTCTAAAGACATCTCTTTAGAAAAACTAGTATGATATATTGGATCTACTGAATTCTACTTATCCTCTGGTAAACTTCCCATATGTTTTGTTTTGTTGGCTGGGTTGGGTTTTTTGTTACTAGTTTTGGCTGGAGTAGATAGAGCTAAACTAGTTGGGTTTGTTCATATTTATTTTGTTTCATATTTGAGATCAAGATTGGGCACCCATTGTAGGGCTTTCGTACTATGATAGTCCCTATTTCAAAGAGATATTTGTTGTATTTGCTATCTCAAGTCTTACAGAGACAACCATTTCCAATGTTCTCTGCGTGTTCATCAAGCCATAATGAAATTTTATTCATACAGTGGCAGAGGTGAGTCTTCCAGAGTTGGAGTGAAAGGACAATGAAAGAATACCTGTAAATAAAGTGGTGAGAAGTCTGCATAATTATTGTAGAAGGAGTGACCTTACACAGTCCTTACATAGAGAGGAGCACAGAGGGACAGGCAGACATTGGTTTTCGTAGGTGTTACAGTCAAAGAAACAAAACTGGAATGCAATTCAGTGAGAGTCAGCTGAAGAAATTGCAAAGGTAGTGGTTCATGAGGAGGCAGATTTTAGCAGTCATACGTTGTGTTGTTACAATTTACACTTCTGTTTCTGCTGCAGTGCCTCTGTTCTGTCATCCTGTCTGTTTTTGCAAGCAGCCGTGACGGCGGAAAGCCTCACTACCTCTCTGCTGGGAGTCAGCAAGCCTGCTGCTCTGCTGCTGGGAAGAGGTTATGTGAGTGCTCCCTGCACTGCTGAGGCAAAGCTTGCTGGTTTCTCTGCAGGTGACTTGGCTTAACCTGCTGACTTTTCCTGCAGGCTGAGCACTCACGCAATCTATCCCTTGCAACAGCAGCTGCAGCAGTTATTTCTAGCTGACAGGCATTGTTGAGCAATCCCTGCTCAGTTCAGAAGAGGGCACCTGTCCCCAGTCTTAGTGACTGCTGTGTCCTGATAGCATCAATTCATGATATTGAAGATGATCTTCTTCAGATTTGGCTCAATGCGGACGTCTCCTCCAACCTCAGAGGTCCACATACATACTTGGCTGTACAGACTGTAATTGAGTATCCTTTTCAACCCCGCTTCTAATGGGATTTGTTTCCAAGCTACTTTTTTGAAAGGCAAGCCATTCCCACTTTGCTTTACTGGATTTTAGACACAGGTAAAGAAAACCTACATGCTGTAAGAGGTCCTCCCAGTGACTTCACTTGTTAATCTAGCTGTAGAGGGTGTCAGCTAAACACTCTCTTATATTTAGTACACTAATTTCACTAGTATTTTGGTGTGAAATAAAATTTCATAACTGGACCCTTGGGATCAATCAAGTAGCAGAGTAATGGTGCTATGTGAGAAGATTATACATGTCTGATTTTTGTTTGCATTTTTTATATACTTTGCCTCTCAAGATCTTAAACTCAACCTCATGGCAAATTTAAAATCTCAGGCAATACAAAGGTGCTTCTGCTGACATTAACTTGTTGATAACCCGTGATATATTTCTGACAAGATCAAATGGCAGCTATTCTGTATCTTACTGTCCTTCTTTATATGATCATTTCTGGTATAATTTACTTTGACACTTGACTCTGGCAGGTAAGTTTGCAGAGCCTTTGAACACTGATGATTTAAATGTATATTCTCCTTCTAGACCGTCATCTGCAAATAGCATAAACAGCAACAGTTCTTCAAACCATAGTGGGTATGTACCAGAACTGCCACTGCCTTCCATGGGAGGAGATTTAACGAGCAGACTGTCCAGTGATGAAGGTGAAGCGGATGGAGCTGAAGAATCTGAGAAATTGGACTGTCATTTTTCTGGACACCATCCCAGACCTCTTGGGGTATGTGTCTGTCTCTGGTGTGCCTTGCCATTATTCTTATGTAATTAGAGAGGGGAGAAAAACAGAAGTGATTTAGTTAAAAAATGTAAGGAAGGAGGACCTTACATTCTGAAAACTGTATTCCAAAAAGAACAAATACATTTGACAGAAAATGATGTGGATGGGATAAGGTAGGAGGAGAAGACTGGTCAGTGCATGTGACAAACATTGCTAGGTTGCAGGACAGGATGAGCAGCAGAAAATCAGAAGTTCTAGTTTTAGATTTTCCTCTCAATAGACTGCAATTCATGCATAATTCTGCTAAACTGAGAAAAGTTGCATTGTTTTAAACGTGACATGAACAGATAATCTGGTTGTTATCATAGTTCTTACAAAACTACCTTGCAACTGATTATAGTTCTGAAAATCATAAGGCAGCAAAGGGCTATTACAGTGCTTTGTTGATTTTTGCAGTTTGGTTTGAAGCAGTAATTAAATATCATGTATATGAGTGTATGTGGACGTAGAAGCTATTGCTTTATTCATCTAAAAATGGAAAGTCTAGAGCACGGTATAGCCCATCTGCTCTGGTGGTGGCTTAAGTACGTGTTTCTCTGGCAGCTGTTTTTGTCTTTCTCCCGTGTTAGTGAGAAATTCCATTGTAAGTAGTAAGAGCTGCATTGTGGCATTATCTCTGCAGTGTGAATTTGTTTGTACTGTACAAACCAAGAAGGAATGGAAGAACTCTTGAACTTCTAAGCAGTTGGTTCACATCAAAATTGAGCCAAGGAATAAAATTAATGAAGACTTGACTTTCGTGTTTTACATGTGTTATGCAGAATAAAATGAACGCTGTGATAACTGTAGCATTGTCTATGTTCCCTAGAGCAAAGGAGAACTTGGTACTGTCAGACATCAGGAAAAAGTATGAGCTGAACATAAAATGACTGTCAGAGGAAGTTCTGTATTTGGTTCTTACACAGAAAATAAGAATTACAGACCATATAATACTATGATATGCAGTAACGTGCTGCTTCCTTGGTACTCTTGTATTCTACATCATTTTTGCTGGCGGCTGCTTTATGAATTAAAAAGTAAAAGCTCACTGCATGTGTGTCTACACAATTGAAAAAATAATTTAAGTGCAGCCAGTTCTTGTATAGGCATCATCAGTGAGGCATGGCTGTCACTAGCCATTTGGTTTTAGGATCCTAGTTCTGTTGCAAGGCAAACCCGTCTCACTCATCTGTTCTTTGAAATCTTAGCATCTCAACTGAAGCAGTTCCTGATAGTGCAACTGTTCTTAGTCCGTATCAGTGTGAAGTCAGGAAAGATGGTGTAAATGGCCTTCAGCATGGTTCACACTAACTTGCTAAATTTCACATTGAAGTGGACTATTTTTCTTACTTAGTCCCCCTCCCAGCTAAGTGGTAGTAACAGACGGGGACAAGGCAGGAGCTTCTTAAACTACCTTTTAGTGGAAACTGATCTGTACTACTGGGAGGTGAGGCTAGTTTATCAGCCTAGGTGGTGGTTTTAATTAACCTGTTTAACCTTGTCATGAAACAAATTTAAGATAAAGTTACAGTCACCACTAGCTGTCCATTAAGCTGAAAAGTACTTAAACGGATGCTTTGCATCAGTAGCTTCTGCTCTCAGCCAGAATTTGTGTGACTTGGTCCCTGCGTGGTCAAGAGTTGTCTTGTTTTCTGAAGATGATTTATAACAGGTTTCTCTCCCACAAATAGGTATTGCAGCAGTTCTCTGAGTAATATGAGATCAGTAAGAATGGACTGAAGAAAGGGTAGATTCCTGGTCATACCATTTCAGTGTAGTAGGACTTTGCAGGAAGTTCTCCAGAGGAAGTGGTGCAAATACTCCTGAGCTCTGCAGAATTCTCGAAACATTTACTATACCTCTAGATGATTTTCATACACTGTGAAGAGTGTATCCGATATCTGTTGTAGCGCAGGTGCCATGGACAATAATGTATTTTTTTACTGAAATGTCACTGATTTGTTTCTTTATTAAATAGATACTAAAGATGCTCCCATTGCACCTTTTTCCTCTTTGGTTATATTTTTAATCTTGTTACACGATTATGAGCTTGCACAGAACATTGTAACTGTCTTTCCAAAGTAGTAAGAGTATTAGTAGCCAGAATTGTTTCCTTAACAGTACCTCAGCATGTATATTCTTTTTGCGCCAGACATAGGTACCTGATAGTAAATGGAATTGTTAGTGAAGTATGAAGTATACTTTACACTAAGCTGAAAAATTATGTGCATATTTCATATATCATGCAAAAAGGCTTTATGCTGCAGATAGTGGAAAAACACCTTTTTAAAGGTGTTTTATATGCATGATACAAATTACAAACATGGTCCTTGATCTATAAATGATAATTATTTTATAATTTTTATAACTTTTTATAAACAACATTAAAATATCTTTTCTTTCAGTTTTGTTCATACGGCAGTCGCTTAATGGGAAGAGGGTACTATGTCTTTGACAGAAGATGGGACCATTTTCGATTCGCACTAAACTCCATGGTGGAAAAACACTTGAACTCACAGATGTGGAAGTAAGTGGAATTTTTACACTTGGTGGATAGTTTAACATTTTTAATTCTGTAAAACTTCTAAATTAAACACTTCATGGGAAGTGTTTGTAAAGCTTCCTCTGTATTAAGTTATAGCCGTAATAGGAGTACAAATTTTCTCTTCTCTGTCAAGGAACATGCAGCACAACAGAACAATCTATTCTGATGTAAATTTCTGCCACATTTAGGTCTTTTTTTTAGTCCCTCTGAATCTGGGGAGGAGTAATTCAGTAGTCCTGGTAACATTACTTAAACGCATTAAAGCTCAGTGTTTTCTGGGTTTGGAGCTATGTTTTGATATCATACCATTTTATAACAGGTTAGATTTTTGCCTAGATTTTTATACCTGTATCACGCACCCGTATCACCCATTCAGACTTTGCTCTGTAAGACCTGTGTTGTAAGAAAAGGAACTCAGTACACGTTTGCCTGTGCATGGTATGGAACATGATAGTTTTTTTTACTCTGTAGTGCCTTTGCTGGCTTTGGGGCCTTAAAATTCTGATTATTACTCACTATTGAAGCACCTCTATATCACATATGCAGGTTCCAAGCACTATAGGCTTTGGCTACACAGATACATTAAAACAGACTGCACTTCAGAAAAAATAAGCTAATTTCTTTTTATGTACTTTTCTAAGTATTTGAAAAGCTCATGGCATCTGCAGATAGCATTGATGTTTTGGGGGTATTCTACAGAATATGCATTCTTCTTCCAATGTAATGACACTAAAGTGCAGTGTTTCATGTCACTGTTTATTATCAGGACTGTGTTATATTCATTGGATGCCAGCCATTAGATAAACAAGGTTTGATTTTCATTTAAATATATTTTTGAAACACTAAAGCTTGGCTTGTCTGACTAACATGGTAACTTGATGATAACATTGCTACTGTGCTGGGAGACACAGTTTGGAAATGGTTGGGTTTGCTGTAAAAGGGCCGGTTTCATGTCTGTTTAGAGACAGATCACACTTGATTTGCAAGGGGTTCCTCTCTCCTACTTTGTAAATTTGGCTGTTAACTAGTGTCTGTCACCTTCCACAAATAAAACTAATTTGGTTTCCTTAAATAGGAAGATTAAAACTTGTTATCTATTGGCTTTGTTTGTCAGGAGAAAAGATACTCGGGCATCTGAGAAAATGTGTCACTAGTACCACTACTATCACGAAAACCAAAAATAACCTCTGTGGTAGTTGTATGATACAAGAAATAAACAGGCCTCATCCTGCTCCCACTAAATCCAATTGTAAATGTTTTCCCAAATTCTGTTTATGTAATCTCTAATATTTTAATGAATTCCATCCGTACTCACTTGTCTGTATAACACAGGAAGCTCACAGTGCTTAACCCCTATAGTATCCTGTTGTCCTCAACCCTCTTCTGGACCGATCTCTTCCTGCCTTCCCAAGCAGGGGTTTGTGCAAAGCTGTTCCTTTATAACCCGTGCTGGTGCAGCTCTGTAGCTGTGCCTAAGGGTACAGGGATAGCAAGGCTATGTTCTAGGAATCAGAATAACATTTACAAAGTACGTTTTATCCCTGGTTCTCAAAGTACTTTACAAAGGTGGTTAAGAATTATCAGCCCTTCTTTAAAAATAAACCGAGGAACGGATCTGATGAGCAGCTTTGTTTGCGTAGCAAGTCACAGGCAGTAGGGCTTCCTCATTTCTGGCTGCATGGACTGTATGAAATCCCTTACGTAATTGTGCCGTAAACAGTGTTCTGTCTCACAGTCCCCCTAGGAAGAATACCAGGAGAGAACACTTGTAATTAGGATTTGATTGATAGAAAAACAGCACACCCAGTGCCGCTCTTCTATCATACTTCTTTGAGGGCGAGAGTAAGCCTTTAAAAACTGAAAAGGTGTCAGTAGTGAGGATAACAAGGGCAGAGTTAATGGTGATGTATGGGTTCTTAACAAAGAGAAATAGGATTAAACTGTGAATTTAATTTTCATCTAAATAATGAGAAAAGCTCACATGATAATTTTCCAAGAGACATTATGGAAGTCTGGCTCTTTATTAACACTGGACTAGATAAAATAATAGAAGATGGTGGCTGAATAGAAAGGAATTTGAATACATTCTACTAATTTCACAGGTAATATTATTAAATTTTATTCTCAGAATAGTATTCAACTCATTATAAAGCTTATCAAGCATTGTTTAATATTTTGTCAGTTTTTCAGTATTGGTGAAATTAATCACTAATTTACCTAGTTAATCCCATCTAACCAGCTCTCAAATGAGCTGTTGGGAATAGCACTGCACTGGGAAAGGAGTGAGCTTCCCTCCTTGCCCTCTTTAAGCTCAGTGACAAAGTGCTTCATAAACCCCCAGACTGGCTCATTTACTACCTTCATCAAATCTAACCTGTGAGTTTAGGTTGATACTGAAACCGTTCCACAACTTGAGTTTTCAAGCAAAACATATGCGATGAATGAAACCTAGTGACTAGAATGTTTATAGGTACCACCATCAGGCATTTTATTTGCATTTTTTTAATTGTTTGGTAAAATAGGAGAGGAAAGGAAATTAAGTTTGTAATAAAGTTATTAAATTGTAGCACTATGCACTTAATTGCTGCATGGGGCACTTGTGCTGAAGTGGAGCTCAGTTCTGGTTTGACTGCTACACAGTTCAGGGCCCATGCGCCATGACAGAATTTTATAGGGAACATTACGCTGCACAGTTCTTTACCTAATCATCTTCTGTTAGGTCTCTGCTGCTTTCACAGACAATGTACCGCATTTTAAATTAATGTTTAGGAAAAATGTACTTCATGATCCAGCTTTCCCGAATCCTTACAATATTAAAGCACACATGATTTGGATTTTATTGTTTCTATTAAATCCCAAAGAACCTCATAATGGAATTGCAAGTTTAAAAAGAGGGAAAACAAATCAGAAGTAAAAGCATTTTTAAGCTGTTGTAGAATGCAGAGCTGATTTTGAACTGTGAATATTAAAATATATGTGGTTGGTAGAATAGGAATCAAAATTAGAATTAACTAGGTTTGCCTTTTTTACTAAGTTGGTCCTTCCCAGAAATAATTTCTGATATACATTGTTCAGATGGAATTTTTTATGTATCTAAAAGTTGCTTTTTGGTTTTTTCTTCTCTATTCAGGAAAATTCCTCCTGCAGCAGATAGTCCCATGCCTTCTCCAGCAGCACACGTCTCCACTCCTTTTCCAGCATCAGTCTTGCAGCCTTTCAGCAACCCCAGTGCAGTGTATATTCCTTCAACACCTATCAGTTCAAGAATCACTTCTTCTTCTTACATCATGACATCAGCCATGTTATCAAATGCAGCCTTTGTGACAACGTCAGATACAAATTCCATTATGTCACACACTACAGCTTTTCCTCACATGGCTGCAAGCCTAAGTATCATGGACTCAACTTTTAAGGCGCCATCAGCTGTGTCACCAGTGCCAGCAGTCATCCCTTCCCCATCCCACAAGCCATCCAAAACAAAAACCAGCAAATCCTCAAAAGTGAAAGACCTGTCATCTCGGAGTGATGAGTCTTCAAGTAACAAAAAGAAAAAGCCGCAATCGTCGTCATCGTCGTCGTCCTCATTATCTTTGCAGACATCTTCCTCGTCTTCATTTTCAGGGTCCCACAAAAAGAACTGTGTCCTGAACCCCAGTTCAACTTTGAACTCCTATCAGGCTACATCTTCCTATAACAGTATGTCTGTGCACAATACAAATAATGGAACAAGCCCACTCAGTGCCAAATCGGAGCCCTCAGGACGGACTTCATTGTCAAGTAGTTCAACAGACTCAGTGAAACACATGAGCATGGTAGTAAGCAGTATTGACTCCTCTAATCTGTCTGTACCTTCTCTTGTGCACCACTCGGGGGACCACTCCCTGGGAGCACATAACGCAGTGTCTTCTCTACCCCTTTCGTTCGACAAATCAGAAGGAAAAAAACGTAAAAACTCTAGTTCTAGTAGCAAAGCCTGTAAAATCACTAAAATGCCTGGTATGAATAGCGTTCATAGAAAGAGCACTGCCAACCTTATTTCTGCGGTGCCAGATCCTACAAGCAGTTCCATCTCTCGGCAGGTAAGGGACTCTTCCAGTTATTTTTTTGCAGGTCATGTCTGACTTACTTGAAATATTTCATGCATTCGGGAAATAACATTCTATGTTTGCTTCAGATTGGTTTTCATCACACAACTTACTTTCTAGGTTACTACAGACACATATTTGTATTTGTTTTGTACCAGTCAGAGAAAGATACTTTGAGAGTTAAATATATATATACACTTTCTTAAAATATTTTTATGTGATTTTTTTTAAATTCAGTTAATAAAGTAGCCATTTGTATCTCTGAAAGTGAAATTGAATGTCCAGAATGGATAAATAATTTTTAGATATTAATTTTTTATCTTAATTCTCATCTCTCTGAAATAAATTATGTCATTAAAACAGGAAGATAAGAGTCAGCATTTGTTTGTTTCTATTCCCAAACTTGTTGCTGATTCATTTTTTTAATGTTATGCAAGCCTCCTCATTTCTTTTATGTAAAACGCTTTCAGCTACCTTTCCCCTGGGGAGAGTCTGAGATGCCTGACCTCAGATGCTGTTTCCTCTTTGAAACTGGAAAAATTAAGAAATTATGACCTGTAGTGGACATTTGGGTATCTTTTTTAGTGTGCATGTATTCAGAATATTGAAGTCACTGCAACAGATAAGTTATACACTCTTACTTCATGGCCGCTAGCAAGAGCTTTGACTTTTCTTTCAGTGGTGCTATATAAGGACAAAATTATATGTGAATTAAAATTTGGAGGAAAAACTGCCAATACGATCTTTATAATGAGCTACCATGTCCCATGCTGTGCAGTGCACAGGAAACAAAGCTTGGCCCTGGTGTCTGGAAGACAAAACCATAGAAAATAGAATACCTCCAGAAATCCAGAGAAGGTGGCTTAGGGGGATTTTTTTGTTTGTGAAACTCTCATTTCCTAAGGATACTGTGCATAAAATGGAATCTGGAAATGGAGAGGGTAAGATCTTGGGCAAAGCAATCCATAGGTAATAGCAGACAGTAAATGGGAGTAGGAGGAGAGAATAAACCAATTCTAACACTGGGATAGCAGACAGAGTGAAGGTCTCAAAGAGTGGCTTAGCAGGCATATTTTCACTTTCCTGCTTCCAGCAGAGGTGCAACTGAGACAATTTGTTTGGCTTTTAAAAATGGATAGTGGCATTGTCTTTCTGTTTTAGGCCTGTTAAATGTGTCCTGTGATCAGAACTGCAATCAGTGATGTTCAAGTCACTGAAGTCAGTGGAGGATGCTGTAAATTCTTCATTCTGCCGCATGTCTGATTTTTTTTTTCCAGTGTGCATGTGCCCAAAAAGTTTAAATTGCCCTGAGATAGAAGATCTCAAATGGGAAGTAAAAAAAAAAAAAAAAGTACAAATTATTACTTTGGTACAAGCATGGGTAGTAGGAAATGGATTGTATTCTCTTTTCACATAGACCATATCTGTAGCTAGTGCAGTTTGAGGAAGTCTTACAGATGTATGCAGGAGGTTCTGAGTTCAAACTCTGACTCCCCTGGTGATTAAATCTGTTCCTGTGGGACATTCCTGTTCCAGTTTGTGATGTATTTCAGCATGTTGCACAGTAATGGAAGTAAAGGAACCATAAAGAATCAGAGGTCTTTTCCAAATGCTTCTAAATATGTCCTTTGCACTAATTATTTTTTCCCTTAAGTAAAAGGTTAATTATATGTAATGAGAGTAATAACATACAGATTTTTAAACATACTATTTTATATACATGTACAGCTGCATACACATATACAGGTATATATGCATATATGTGTGTGTATATATATCTATAAAAGTTAGTGACTCTTTCCTCATATTGCTGGTCTTTGGAGCTACACTAGTAATCAAAAATAGGAGGTAAAATGGAATTGATTGTACTTCAGATGTCCTGCTGGCAGCTAATTGTCTTCATGACAAGGATATTCAATTGTATGCGATAACAAAACAGGTATTTCCTACTGTTTATTTATGCTGTAAATAAATGAGATTTGTACCCACTTAAGCATATGGGTCAGATAATGTCACATACTCTACGTGTGAATATTAAACCTCTGGAGAATACAGTACTTGAAATCACTTTTAAGCTCTGCTGTTTTGAGTCTTCTAGAAATGCAATCACAGTACAAATAAAATAAAAAAATCAGTATTACTTAAAATCTTGCACCTGTTCCCTGATGTAATCAGGCAAATTAAATTAAGAGAATAAGAACACAGAAAAAAACTCAAGTGACCAGTGAATAGGTTTAGGTTTTGGGTGTTTGGTTTTTTTTTTTTTCTAATTTCATTCGAATCTGATCCGGATAGATAGTAACTGAAAGTGTTACCCATTGGGTTTTGAAGTATACTTTATTTTTAAAAGAAAAAGAGGGACTTGAGTCCTGGCCTCACCCTGATCTTTTTGCAATGGTGTTCCTATCATTAAAGACCCAATGCAACTGGGAATCTTTCTTTCTTACTTTCCCCGAGTGCTGTAGCTGTCCAGTCCGTCTGAATTGCCCTTCTGTGCTGGAGCGCTGCCCTTCCAGCTCTGACTGAAGACAGGGTGGTAAGGCAGCTTGAAGCCGACCGCAGTGTTGCAAGCTGTGTTGCTCTGTGCTTTGTCTTATGTAGAGAGTCAAATCTGTTAATCGTAGGAGCAGTGAATGTGTGCATGGATGAAAGCCTAAAGAGGTATAATACTCCCTCTCATGATTCTGGGATCTCAGCAAGTCAATTTCCTAGTGGTATTTTCTCATTTAAAAGAGGGATGTGTATTTCATTATGGAAGGTGTTGATGAATATTATAATGGTGGGTGTAGAGAAGAAGGGTTGCAGGTGTGTCATGACATTCTGAATGGCTAGGAAAGATTTTACAAGGTTGTCTATCTTTAGTCAAGATTTGTACATTGAAGAAAAGCACATTAGTACCTAGAGAACAACTGTGGCATGCAAAATAGCAAGCTGAAGGGAACAGGATGGGCAGAGGCCTGCCCTTTTAATCTTTGCACACCACGGGAGCTGCCTTCAAAGCTGGCTGTAAATAAAAACTTGAAACATCTCTTTTGGATAGAATGTGAAGAGGGAATGCTGTTTTAAACCATCACTGTGTGAGAAGGAGCAGATATGGAAAGGCAGACAAAGGCTACCTCACACTATATATGTGAAATGGCGAAATAACAAATGATGTTGCAGAAGGGAAGGAGAAAATGGTGAAGTTGGGGAAAGCCCCGCCAGCCGATGCCACGGTCCCGTCTATTCAGTAAGAAACTTGCAACTGCATTTCTCACTGTCTAGAAGACAGGTCCGTGCTACCTCTCCTTCAAATCATTACAGTTGATGTTACTTGAAGTCCGTTGACCTTGTGAGTAACTTCAAAATCTGGTCATCTGCCATTTGCAGGCAAGTGTCCATGGTTAATTTTTATCAGCCTTGTAACCCCTGAGGAATTGCTCCTGTGACTCAGCAGCTCTCTCCCCTTTTGTCTCACATCAGAAATATCTACACTATGTTTATAGATCATTGTAGGAAAACGTAAGACACAGTGCTCTCGCAGAGTGCTGTAATCTCTTAAGCATTGAAACATGCAGATTGAATATGGCAGTATTTTAACTAAGTGCTTTTAAAATGTGCATATATATACTGTCAATTTGCCCTCATTCCCAAAGAAATTCTCCGATGCAGTAAATTGATACAATTGCAATTTAAACCTCTGGAGTTTGATTCTTCTGGTTAATATCTGCTTTATTGAGCAATAATAAATGAAGACTTTGTATGGAAGAAAATGCAATAACTTTGGGTATGCTGTGATGCTTGGCCACTTGCTTTAGACTCACCAGGAGTGGGGAAGGTCCCCTGGGGAGGACTCTGACCTCGAGCTCTCTGTGCTCTTGCAGTTGCTGACTAGCTGCACTGAGTCCAGTAACTAGAGAAACTGGTATTTCGGTCTAGAGAGGTGGGGGATTACGATCTATATTCCCCCGGTAACTGTTACTCTGTTGGTTTCTGACCTGTAATAGTATTTATGTGCCTCTTAAGAGTTTATTTAAAGTATATAGGCTCTGAGAGATAATCGCGATTCTATCTGAAGTGTATCTTTTGCAATAGCAAAATACCTGTGTTCCAAGTGCAAAGCAATTAGTGCCACTTTACACAGGAAAGGGAAGGCCATTACCAGCATCTGCATTCAACTGACAAATACGCCTCTCAATACTGCTCAATTAATGTCTTTCAGATTGGAAAAAATAGCAGTGTAGCTTTGTCACAATCCAGTCCTTCGAGTACATCAAACCCCGTACACAACAGACAAGTAAGTTGCTTTGGAAAAAAGTGTACCTAAGTAGTCTGTAAGCAGTTTTGAAATATTTTATACTGTAAAACCTTAAAAATACAATTTCTTTATGAATACAGTTCTTTATAGAAGCTGTCTTTCAGTGAACTAATATTAGATTTCTTCTCTCACTTCATTTTTTTCCAGCTGTTTTCCCCTCTGAGATTTATGAGTAACAAGTTTTCTGCTTGTTTTTCACCACCTGTAGTACGCGTCAGGTTGGCTTCTATGCTGCTCACCACCTGTTGCTTTGGTGATACAAACTCAGCAGCAGGAGAAACTGTCTGTGCAGGATCCAGGGTTTTTCTCTCCAAGCTCCCCTGCAGAGCGAGATGGCACAGCAGAGTCCCCAGACTGGCTCGGGAGGGACAGCATTTAAAAATAGGCCAGAAGTGAAAGCAGCAAAGGGAGGACAGAAACAGGCCAGAGAAGACAGGGCACTTGACTATTCAGATAAACTAATCTGAAAGCATAACTAAGCGAAGTGTAATTTGAGTTCTTAGACTGTGAGAAATCCTTAGCACCCCCCCATACCTGTTTATCACACAGACTATTACAATAATTATAATAAATTCTGTAACTCAGCTTTTTTGTGAGGACAGGTTCTTGACCTGTGATCCAGCCCTCACCTCTCTAGAGGACTGATAGACTAGTTTATTTTTTTAAGATGGCCCCTACTGTTTGACTCTCCAAGTTGAGGAGTTTATCAATAATTCCTTATTGAGATCCTTGGTATGAAAAGTTCTCCCACCTCAGCAAGGTGTAGTCACAAGTAAACAAAAAATCCAGAGGATTTTTCTGTACAGCCAGTTGGTATTTTAGAATTGTTCCGTATTCTGACTAAATTAGACAGTAGTTATTCCAAATGGCTGTGCTGCTTAGTTTCTGCTGTGTAGACACAGCAAAAGAATAGTATGCTTGTAGTAATGACAATCCACAACAAATCCCCATTGAAAATGTTCTGAATCGCTCACATCTTGAGATGAACTGCCAATCAGTGAATTTATTTTTTTTCCACTTGGTGCTGAATGCAAAGCAGTATACGGATGGAAGAGCTACTCTGAAAGGGGAAAGTGGGAAGTTTCTTTATACTCCTAGGGATTGGCATTTTGCTGTGTGAGGCACCATCATCCAGCTGCCAGTAACAAACATGGGATAAAGCTGTTCTGAAGTGCAAAACTGGTTTTGCTTTAGCTTCCTGCTCCTGTGTTAGTATAAAATACGCACTACCCAAGGAGCAGAGCTGTTTGGGATCTGTTGCCTAGATCCCATGGGGAAAACCTAACAGCACAAAACGTTAATTCTGTGGCAGCCTTACACAAACAGAGGCTGTTGCTGAGCTTTTCAGCTGCCTGTTTCCGTAACTTTAGCAGAAATAGAAGTGCTTGCTTGTTTTAAGCCCCACGAACTCTTCATTGTTAAAAATATGTTTCTGTCAGTTTGGTAGTTGAATATGGAGCTCAGAATACAAATACAAAAGAAAAACAAGGTGTATTAAGTTTTGTTAAAGTTTTTTTTATTTTAAACTCTTAACACAGAATTTGTGCTTGGAACTATGAATAATGATTACCTATCTCATGAGTGCTTCTCACTGTCAAAATAAAGCTGAGCTGCTTTGTTGACAGCTTTCATCTCCAATCTAGCAACTGAATAGTCTCTAAATAAATTTTTAGTCTTAAACTGTGCTATAATACTTCTTTATAAAGGTGTTATTAATTAGGTCACAATAAGTAGATGTGCAAATATCTGCTGTGGCAGATAATACTGGGGGAACCTGCGCTCTCTTGTTTTTAATGTTAGTGGTGTTACAACCATGATAATCAGAGAGTGCAAGTGAAGCAAGGTCTGTAGGCAGAGACCACCTCTGCCATGCCGTGGGGTTTGCAGCTGGAAAAACAGGCAAGTTTTCACGGATACAAGTCAGAACAACAGACTTTGAACAATGCAGTTTGAAGTAGGATGGCAGCCGTCACGCCAAACTGAGTACAGAGCAGTTACTCTGGACTGCCTCCACTGTGTAACCTGGTCAGGCAATCTATTGAGTTTGTCTGCCAGTGCAGGGGGGGAAGATTGTTGTTTCTCAAGAGAAGGGAGAACACGGGGTTGAGTGGCTGGATGAGAATGGGACATCTGGGAAATTGGGATCAGTTGTAAAGCCAGTCTGGTTTGAACCTGTGACGGTGTGTGCAGTCCTGCTGAGAAAGCTGCCGTCCCCACAGCCCTTCCCAAGGTGTCCAGTCAGAGCTGAGAGGACACGCAGCAGCGCTATGAAAGGCACCTGCCACCAGTAACTGGGTGTTCCCTGTTATTGAGCTGGGAGATGAAGGTGCCCCATCGTTGATTTGATTTCACGCAAGGAGTTTCTTTTGGTCATTTGCTGCATCTGTTGAAGTATGCCGTGCTCCGGGGCACTGCTGTGGCAGAGTGGTGGCTGTGAGGATGCCTGTTGTGGGCCTGCCTGCTCTCTCCCATCAGCTCGGTCAGGTTAAACTCTTAATTGTTCTCCATTCATGTTTAATTTGTGTGTTACTGCATCTATTTGAGACCTGAGCAGTGCCTTGTATACATAAAAGCGTGCCTGTTTTTCCAACTATTGTTGCTTTAATAAAAAAACATTTTTCCCTACAAAACCTACTTGTTTTTTAACAAACATTAATGGAATGGTGATTTTACAGTCAAATTATTTGTGTCTGTTAATACAAATAATGTGTTAAAAGCTTGTTTTCTCCAGATTTTATCCTTGTCCTAGGTTTATAACTAATCAAGTGTTTTTGTCTTCATAGTGCTTTTAGGTGCCTGAATGTGTTAACACTTCAAGACCTCAGTATGCGGTGGTTTTTAAATACTGAGTAACTAGATCATTTTCTTAAGGGAAGGTGACAACGTGTATGCTGTGTGGGGATTCCTTGTGCATGAAAACATGCTGTGTAGAGGAAAAGAGTCTTCAGAGTTGTCGTCTAATTGCTGCTCTTTATTTGTAATGATACGCCAAGTTAACGAACGTGAGATTCACCAAAGCTTACTAAACTCAGACAGTCCCAAAAGGAAATACGCTGTTTATTCAAAGCAGTTCCTTTTCTTAAAGGTCTAATGTCATCTGTAAACAGGGAGGGAATTTGGTTCAGGGACTTGAAATAAACTCCTGCTTTGAGTTCTGTCAGACGCAGCTGTTATGAAAGTGTTATGTACTGAAAGACATTTTGTGATTTTGAACCTGGCTCTGGTTTCTCTTTTAGAAGACATCAAACCGGACTGGTAGAATAAGGACTCTTCCATAACAAGGAAAAGGAACCAGCCTATAATCTCTAGCTCTCAGCAGCCCTACTCCACAGGGTTTTTCTTTTCTATGTCCTGCAGATGGATTTAACCTTTTATGAATTTGTGGTTTTAAAGAGAATTAAATTTACAGAAAACTGTAATAGTGATTTGTTTTGTTTTTCACTTGTATTTGCCACTGATCTGTGCATTCTGCTTGGTTATATTTCATGCCTTTTAAAGCTGTTAGCATTGCAATGCTCCCTTTGTTTCCTTACCAGAACACAGCAGACATTAAAAAAAAAAAAAATACAGATCATGATTTGAATTTATTTAAAGGATCTCCAAATTTTTTCATTAAATAAAAATTACAGTAATTCTGTATTTAAGCTTGTCCTATGGATAAAAATTGAGTGCATTTCTTAGTAATTTGCAAACAGCTGGGGCACTGCAACTTTTTAGGGACTAATCCTGACTGGTGCTCTGTACCTACAGCATTTAACAATTTCAGTGGGAATTCTGAGCGTTCAGCCTCTTCCAGGATCAGGCTCTTAAGGAATCTGTACTTCAGTCAATGCGTCGAGGATTTTTGCACCAAACTGTACTTCATGGTACCAGGGGCTCAACACATAAAGTCCCCGTCACTCGGTGGATTTGTAGACGCTGAAGATCACAGCACCTGGTAAATTCAGTGAACGGTTTGGGTTTGCAGGGACCGGAGTTGAGCAGATTGGCTTGCATTAATAGAATTGCACTGACAGTGTTTCTTATAGGATTACTGAATAATTTTTTTAATAAAATATAGATTTTATAATCAGGAAGCCAATACTAGGTACTGGAACAATACTACAGAGGAGTTAATTTTTATTTCTACAGTGTTAAAAGTGCACTTATATGCTGGTTTATTTACATCTTGGGGAAAGGCGAGAGACTGCAAATAGGGAGATTATTACTACTTTCTTTTTTAAAAAAAGAAGGCTTAAGGCAAATTTTAAGACTAAAAATGTTTAAGCAATTATAAACAAGGCTAGACCCTTTGAAAAAAGTTTAGAAATATTCTTAAAATAAATTTTTATAGTGTTAATTTTGTAATAATTTATGTTTTGCTATACTTCAGAGCTAACTGACCGGTATAGTTTCAGAAACAGTATGAAACTTAGGAAAGTTTAAGCAATGTTTATATTTTTAAAATGTTCTTTGAATTATGTTTTTATTGTACATTTCTTCAGACTGAAAAAATGTGTACATATCTTTGTTATTTTTGCACAATTTTTGTCTTGTTCAGTTTTAGGAGCAGTACTATGTTGATTTTTTTAATTTATTTTGAGTTATAAAACTGCAGGAGTTTAAAAAATCTCAGTAACAACATCATCCTCTGTAATCAATGAACTGCTATTTCTAGTTGTTGAGGGAAAACAGTGGTTGCGAGATTCAGTGGTTGCTTCTGAGAAATAATGCTAATCAATGACTGAAGGAGCAATTTTGTAGTTTTAGGAAGCTTTAGCTCTTTCCATGCATCTTTTAATTGGAAAGCTGGAATATGGAGCCTGTCCTTTGAATGCTGCTTAATTATTTTTTTTTCAACTGGCTTACACCTGACAGCATTTCAGGAAAGTTCAGCACCAAGTAAAATCCCACAGTGTTCTTTCATCATCAAAGAATCATTATTTAATTATCCGTATCAAAAAGTTCAGCCTGAAAAGTGAAATGGAAGTAAACATTTGAAAAAAAAGGATACAAACTGGACCAGCCTATAATGCATTATTAGTGTAGCATTCAGTTGGTAGTTCTTTTCCTTCCCCGTTTGCCTGAAAACCTTGTGATTTGTTTCCAGCAATAGAGGCTCAGAAGCTTTGGTTGTTACACATACGCAATGCATAGGCCCGTCAGCCATAAAAAGCGACTTGGATAACTTGTATGCCTTCTTTTGTATTGATGTAACAATTGTAAATAGTGCTGATCGACCTTTGTAGAGAATAGTTTATACAGCATATTCTATTATTGCTGATTCTCAGTGAACTATTGTTTTAAAAAAAAGAAGAAAAAAAGAAATTTTTCTATTTACACCTTATATTTTGTTATGCTGTTGACCCATGGCACTTTAACAAAACTCTGTGGGTTTTGCATAGCTGGTCAGTCATGGGATATATTAAATAACTGTTGTTGCACAGAAATGAATTTGCACCTGCTATATTGTGCTTTCCTACTACAGATTTTAGAACCTTTTCCAGAAGACTTTTGAAGAAAGCATGTCCAATCATTCTAAGAAAAAAAAAAATGCCATACTTGTACAGCCAATTTCTTTTCTACAATCCATATTTTGTAACACTAAGTATTTTCATTCTTTGTCCTGCACCTTTATGTATTAGCAGTATCAAATAGAATTCATTCCATGCTTGTGATAATTGTAAGCAGAATAAATGTCTAAAGTAGGTGTAAATAGTAAATTCTATGGCTTACAGTTTAAAAAAGGAAAAACAGAACAAACATGTATCTGATTGATACTGCCATGGTTCAACACCGGGCCTGGAGATATTCTCTAGTGAGCGATTGTATTTTTTGTTTTTTGCTTTATTATTATTATTTTTTTTTTGTAACATGGCTTTGTAAATAAAATAATTTATATGTTTGTAAGAAACAGACGGGTTTTGTCATTATTTATCTTTGCAAAGCAGGAGTGTTATCTGTGACAAGACTGCCCTTTTTCTTCCTTGAGGCTGAAATACACCGTGCCGATGGCCAGTGCTGAGAATTCCACCACTAGTTCAACAGATCTGCCCAGCTCTCGGTACAGGGCTGAACTGCTCCAGGATTAATTTTGGCATTCGCGTCTAAAATATTTCTGTATTTACATGTCAGGACGTGCGTGACGATCAGCTGCTGAGTTTTTTGGACTGATAAATCATTTTTAAATTCCTTTGCGTAGTTGAATGTGTTTTCTCATTCCTTATCAGCATAAGAATTAACTTTGCTTGAGCTGCCAGATTTAGGAACTCTCACTTCAGTGGGCAGGACAAATTTATAACCAGTCTTTTTATCATTGTTAATACTAAAAATGCAACTTTTATCTAGGCATTAAGATTCTTGTTCTGTGTAAAGCCTGTTCCAACTACAGATCAAATGAGACTTAAATTGTTCATTGGCTTGTCAGCTCTGCACAGAGGATTGCGTTTTTTTCTCTCGCAGCAAACCTATTCTGCAAATCTGGGGAAGATGTACATTTTTATGCTCCTTTTATTGAAGTATCTGGAAAGCCAGTCTTGGAGATACTGTAGAGAAGATGGTCACAATAACAGTATGATCTTTTTTAAAAGCAAGAAATTTGGACTGCACCTGGGTTTTTTGTATGCATAGACTCAGGACTGGGAGAGGAGATAAAGCTGGCCTGTGTTACAGGCAACAGTCATCGTAGGGGGAAAATTTTACCTTCTAGGTAAACAGCGTTTTGTGTAATGCCTTGCATGTTCTCATGTGTGTGGCAAAAGCTAATCCTGAACTTCCTCTTTACTGTCCAATTTGTGCCTTGGTCTGAGCTGCTGATATTTTGAAAACTTTTTTTAATCTTGAGTTTATCTTTTCTAGTATAGAAAACCTGACCACAATGAAGTACAGTAGATACTGAAGTTTCATCTGATAGAGAGCGGTCCCCACATATGGCGAAGAGCGACACTGTGTTTGTAAGATGCTTTGCTATTTCTAGCAGCCATTAGAAATTAAAGCTACAGCCAACAAAATGGAGTACAGCCATGAGTTATTAGTTGCTTGCCGTCACTGCTCGTGGCCAGCAAAGGCTGAAGACCACTACATTTATTTTCCAAATACGACTGAGTCATCTTTTAGCACTTGCAGGTTTGTTAGAATGATTTACAAGCTGTTCTCTATTTGGAGTTGGTTCCCCCCACCCTTTTTTTTTTAGTTATGCAACAAGTATTTTGCTTGTAGCTGTGCTCTTTTGCTTGTATTATCTAACGTGCTCTAAATACCACCAGTTTCAGACGGAAGTAGATCACACTGTAACTTTTTTATTCATTGTACTCTAGTTTTTATGCTTCTGTTTTTACCACAGAAATATTTATTTTAGAACAAAGTCATTGCTGTCTGCAACCAGTATCTGTTTTACTCTTCCAAATCTGTCAGGATTCATAATTGGAAGAAATGCCAAATACTGATTCCAGAAATATTTGGAGGAGATTCATACAACAGATTCAGACTTCGGAACACAAGAATGTTTATTTCATGCAATTTTTTATGCTGTTTTGCTCCTTGAGTACCTCTTGAAAGCTACTACCCAAAACAAGTAGAGACCTCCTTTAAAACATACTTTCCTGAGTATGAGGAAGATAGAGCCGGTAATTCAGCAGCAGGTCCCTGTTTGTCCATCGACTGGAGAATCCATGGTAGATGTGTGCGTACTCCTCATTTTGTAATGCATCACAAATGGCATGGGCAGGATTCTTTTGTGCGTGATTTTTGTTGCTTATGGCTGACCTGCAGAAATATTTGGATCTAGTCTGTGATCTGCTCTCCCTACAGACTGGAGAAGGGAAGAAGCTTTAGGGAAGCTTCCCCTGTTTAGGGGAAATAACAATCAGGATCCAGGAGAACCCAATTTGAGGGTAAGGACATCAGTAGGGATTAGAGATGGTGCACAACATTCAGCTGCCCCTTTGCAGATTTCCCAAACCTGAAAGATTTAGCTCTGAAATTGAACCTGGGTTTGATTAACTTGGAACAGTTACTAACATGGTTGATGCAACACCACAAGAGACTAGATCTTCAGAAAAGTTGTCTAGCATGAGCAAAGTGTATTCACAGAATGCTTTATACCTGTTGGTGTAAATACATGAATGGCCTGATGAACTCACAAGTGCAACCCTGTGAGTCACGTGTCTGTGTCAGCTATTTCTAGCCTGGCCCCAGCTGAGGCAGAGGTGGGACTGGTGACATCACTGCAGAAGAGAAACCATCATCCCCTCCCAGTGACAAATTTACTCAGTGCTGGTTTGGAGAGCTGTGTCATCGATGAGTAGACAGGTCACTGGAAAAGAACTACTAAGGCTTAATCCTTTAGCCTTTCCCACCACAGATGCAGAATATATAGGCCTGTCACCTTACTTCCGAAGATACTCTCAACAGCCTACGCAAGGAACTTTCCCTGGTCAGCTCCACTCTTAAATTGCAACTATTTGTCTTCCTTTTTGTTCAGTTCTCTCTTATTTTGACTCATAATCAGTTGGGTGGTTTCGTGCTGTGTTTAGGGGGGGAGGGGGAGCGGTGTGTGTGGGTTTTGTTTTTTAATCTTGCCTTGAGTTACTCCTTCCTCATTAGTTCTTTTCAGGATTTGTTTGGACCACATAGCCTAAACAGTAACGCCAACACGTTGGGCTTGCTGCTTCCTTATCAAGGAGACACCAAGAAGGTGCAGAAAGCTGGTTTTCACTTGTGTTGTTTTGCAGGGTGCTTCTAAGGCCTACAGTTTCACACCCTGAGCATGGATGCTTCCCAAGAAAGAAAACATTCGAAGGGAAATGCTCCATTTGTGCTCCATAACCTAGAGCGAGCCAAGTGCCTGTTTGCTCCTGGAGTACATAACAGGCTCAGTGTTGGGCCTTTCATTCCTACAGACAATTCTCTAATGCCTCTTCTACTTTGCACCTAGCATATCACTGGGCCACTCACTCCCATGACCTCCACTATTGATATTCCAATCCTGAACTCCTTTCAGTGGCAGTTAAATGCCAACGAAGCCTGAAAAATACTAGCTTCTCCATCTCGAGCTTCTGTCCAGGGCCTTTGGGCACAGACTGGCCTTCAAAACCCTTATGAGGTCACCAAGAAAGGAAGAGAGGAAAAGAAATTGAAGCACAAAGTGAATGGTGAGCACTGTAATGAACCTCTGGCTCTAACTCACCACTTGCCCTGATTTAGGGGGACAATGATAACAGCCTGCCAAAACCTATGAGGAGGTCACTAGGCGATCAGAGCCCGACTCTTCAGTGCTGCACGGTGGGAGAGTGAGAAACAATGAACGTAAGTGGACACAAGGGAGGTTCAGACTGGATACAAGGAAAAAACCTTCCTGCCATGGAGACAGTCAAGCGTTTGAACAAGTTGCTTAGAGAGGTAGGTGAAATCTCCAACTTTTGAGATTTTCAGACCCAAACTGGATGAAGCTCTGAGCAACCTGGTCTGACCTCAGAGCTCACCCTGCTTTGAGCAGGAAGCTGGACTACAGACCTTCTGTCCTGTGATCCAGATGTGAAGAAAGCAATAATGATGATTTAACTCCTCTCTCAAAGGCTCATCTTATAGACTCATTTTCTCAGAAACACTCCCTCAGGCCTCCTTAGGGTATTTTCCTAACACCAAAGCTTCTTCATTGCTTGGTCTTTGCTATTCATTAACCAGCTTTTTTTGGCATCCCACTCAGAGCCGGTGACACCCAGGACCCTATCATCGGCCTTTCTCACTCTACTATGTCCTTCCTAGATAGATATTTCACTGGATTTTTTCCAGATGTCCCAGAGATATACCACAAAGTTGCCTTTGAATCACTTTACCTGCCTTGTTTCTAAGACAGTATAGAATGAAGCAGAGAAATTACTGTCCACTCTAACGAGTTTTGTCTTTTTATGGTCACAGAAAGAAGCACTTCAGATGTTCTCCAAGAAAGTTAATATTTTGAGGAATCATGAACATCTTTACGCTAAGGTTGGCTAACTGTGTAACAGACTAGATGGCATTATTTTCTAAATCTACTATCCCAGTAATCAGTACATTCTCTATTAGAGCACGTCCACTGTTGCAGCTTATATGAAGAGCATGTCTATTCTTGACACCTGTGGGAAACCATCAACATTGACACTAACCTCCACCAAATGTTGATGCATCCAAAAAAAATTCAGGCGGGGGGGCAGAGAAGCTAAGGCGATGGAGATGGATCTCTGATCTCTACCACACTGTGTAGTGTGAACTCGCTCTACAGATCCTGCTAGAATAAAAGCATCTGTGGTCTTAAGAGCTATGGGCTCAGAGCCACACTTAAACAGACAAATACACTATATATCTCAAAGAATGAAGGCTCCTGCTAAGTGTCTTCTTTTTTTTCCCCTTTGCCTTCAGCAAAAGTCCCACTGTAGTTCTAGGAAATCAATTTCTTGGATTTTCAGTCAATTGGGAAGTAGCCAGTTCTGCAAGAGAGCTAAGTTTCCTGATATTAAAACTAGCCTTTTTTTCTGACCTGTTTTTGCTTCTTTCTCACTTGGAAACAGTAACTGGAAGTATCTTTCTAATTCCTGATATTTAGTTTTTCTCAGTATATGATTTTTGATGGCAGGTTTAGTCTTTATTTTGCAGTGGACTGAAAAAAAAACCCCACACCACATTCCCAGCTTAGCCTTAAAACTGCAGGCTCTTGTTCTTGTAGAGGGGACTGGGATTGCAACATGGTGGAGACACAGTGATCCAGGCAGCTTCTGTGCAACCTCAAGGATGATTTCTTGACAGAAGGGCACAACAAGCCGAGTCTGGCTATGCTAGACACGCTGCTCACACATAAGGGCGGACTGGCTGGGAACATTGACATTGGTGGCAGCCTTGGCAGCAGTGACTACAAGATAGCAAAGTTTGAGATTCTGA